AAAGCCAGTCTCCTGGACTGGTCACACAGTCTTATCGACTTCTTTTAATTTAGTGAAAATAGCTCAGAATCAGTTGAGGTAATATTGGGAAAATAAAATTGAGCAGAACTTTTTTTTTCCACATCATAATTGATAGTTTACTGGAGGATATTTAAGGAATGGTTTATAAATATAAATGGTGACCTATTACAAAAAATGTTTGCCAATAAAGACAATGCCTTATTAATAAAGTTGTGTCTGGGAAGCCAATGTAATAGTTTCACCAATGTAATACAATTGAACAACTTGGTTAATGATTGCGAATTTGATGGAACTGATTTGGATCATCATCAATAAATAGCATTCATGTATGGCCTAGCCCTAAACATTTTTTTAAAAAATATATATTGGAAGGAACTTTCCTTTGGCTGCATTCATATTGTTTCTTGCTATATATAGCAGCTTTGGCTCATTGTTCAACTATCATAAATATTTGAGCCAAACTCTTGTTTTTTGAAGGGAAGGCAGACATATGTCTCCTAGAAATTGGCATGTTTTTCAGAAGTGGAACTATTCAATTATTTTATTATTCAAGAATGTGAGTTGCTCCTGATTAACTGATAAAATAGCTGTAGTTCATATTTGCAAAATGCTTTCCAACTCTACATCAGATTGTTGATTCTTATCTATAAAAAGTAATTATAGCTTTAATCAGTAAAATAAAATTGCAGGAAATCAAATGCATATCATGTGAATGCTCAGCACAATGCCCTTTGTTAAACACGGTTTTTTATTTTTTATATTTTTTTGAGAATTCTTTTCAATCTTGTAGTACCCTTTTTATCTTCCTTGGCATTTCCTTCAATAGATACTGACCATGTCTGGGTCATAGAATAAAATTTAAAATATAAGTGCAATAAAACATAGATATTTAATAGGCCAATATGAAAATAACCTAAAATTATAATACTATTCATTATAAACCATTTAGTGATTATCACGATCCTGAAGTAGAAAAATCAACATTTTTTTAAAAAAAAAACCTAGACATTTAAAAATTGGGAGTCTTTTAAAACTCGAATCGCTTTAGTTAAATGAAGAAATCACATGATTATCTCAAATTAACTGTTCAGTTTTTAAGCTGTACTTCCATTTCATGATATCTGAAATAATATATTCCTTTATAAAAGAAACTAGTAATGTTTGGCTAACTGTTCTATGTTATTTAGCAGTCAGAAAGGATTCAGACAATCTCAGTTTTACATAATCTAACCTGGTTAATCTACAATTGCTATATTGTTTTGTATTTATTAATCACAAATCTCATCTTCCAGCTTGCTCTCATTCCCAAGAAGTAGACAGACAAACTTTTGCCATGGTTCACTAACAAGCTTTTACACATGATTCCTCTTAAATGTTCATTTCAGAGTTCACTTATACAGAAAAGAGTCTGCATAAATACTGGGCTGTGCAGAGGAGGGACTGATTCAACGTCAGTTAGCAGCCAAGAAAAATGTAACTCTGCACGTTAGCATACATCCTGATACTGCCCCAGTAAAATAGAATTTCCAGTCCCTTTCTTTGCATGCATAATGGAACTGAAATGTAAAAAAAAATTTCCCGAGTTCCTGTAAATCAGGAGTGTCAAACTGGCGGCCCGCGAGGCAGATGCCTCATGAACAGGCCACACCCACCCCAGCTCCACAAATGGGGAAAAAAGTCACATGACAGCAATCTGATGCTGCGAGTTTGACACCTCTGCTGTAAATCATTGAGAATTTATGGACGGAAAGAGTGCTTACTGGATGATTTGCATCACAGTTGGTTCTGGTGTGCAAATACAGGAATGGAAAATAAGTGGTTGGACTTATAAAAAAAGGTTTGCTAATAATATGCTCAAGAATTTATTCAAATTATCCCCTATTTGTTCTTTTTTCAAATTTTCAAATTTCCTCTTTCCTGATCAGAAACTTTAGCTTTCCATGTTTATGATGGCTAAATGGAGATGAAGATTTGGCCTGGTGATCTTTCTCAAGGATAACAAAGAAAATAAATAATTATTCTTCACTGCCACTACTGTTCCTATAATGAATATTACCTTTTGACCCTCTTAATCCAACATATTTCATTAATTACTCATTCTGAGGATTATGCAACATGTTGAATTCTAAGCTAATTAAATGGGAATTTGTACAATGCACTAAGCCACCAAAAAGAAAAGAAAAGAAAACCAAAAGAAATTTAAAATTAGTCATGCTTAAACATGTGAAGCAAATTCACCCCCTAGGATTTTGATAGAGCTGGTTAAGCATGGTGTAGAACACAATTACAATGTTCTTTAATATACCTGCTTAGCATTTTTATACCATCATAATTACTGTATTGAATCAAATATTTGAGACAAATTGACTAACTGTTATTTATTTTACTGTTCTCTGACATTTTCCATTCTTTTATTATATATTTTCTATCCAGATACACTCAGAAAAAACAAAATATTATTTAGATAATATCATCATGTAAGACATCTTGAGTTTAAGAAATTTACAGTTGGTTATTAACAATATTTTTTAAAATATCAGTTAAATGTTCAGAGATACATTTAACAGATTTGTTTTCTCACCAATTTAACTTGGTTGATTTGTAGTTGATGGAAAAGTTTTCATTTACATTGTACACTGATCCATATATATCGGACAACTGAGTTCTAGTTGCAGATTTCCTGCCAAGCTAATCACAACCATAGTCAAGTTTCAAATCTCTACCATGCCAGCCAGTTCTGTTTACCACTCAGAAAGCATAAAATTAAATCCAGACATCCAATACAACAATGCAAACTCTGCTTTTGCAGTGACATATACAATAAATTAAATAATCTTCCTAGTTTCCCTAAATCAGATAAAAATGAAATGTATTTTTACTAATGAAATACTGTGGAAAGATAAAAAGGCTTAAAGTATTACTACTTTAAGCACTGGCTTTGGACAAGGCAATTTCTTTTATTATTAGGATTAGGTTTAAATGTTCTATTTTAATGGTTTTTATTTTTCATATTAATGGATTATTTTATTAAATTATATTACTTAAGTAAAATAAAATGTTCTGTTTTAAACAGACTTTAAACCCTCCTCGAGCTTTCTATCATGTGTAGTTCCAGTCCCAATTGTGATTGTAAGACAAAGACTACTTGTATATATATTTGCAGAATATTTTTGTGCTAAAAAAAAACCAATTTCACACAAATGGTGAGAGTGGATTAACTCTTGTGCCTTCAAATGTGCAAAAGTGTATCTACAGAAAGGAGCTAATTTTATGCTGTCAAAAATATTTTTGCATATTCTTCTGCAGTTCAAAGCAAATAGCATACATCTCACAGATAATATTTCATATGTAGTTCATTAGTACAGAAAGTCTTCTCTTGATGAAATCTTGTTTTTTAAATCAATGATACTATATTATTAATTATAATACTATATTATCGAGCTGCACTGGCTCCCGGTGGTCTTCCGAGTGCACTTCAAGATGTTGGTTCTTACCTTTAAAGTGCTCCATGGCTTAGGACCTGGGTACCTACGAGACCACCTTCTGCAACCAATAACCTCCCACCAACTAGCATGCTGCCACAGGGTGGGCCTCCTCAGGGTGCCGTCACTAAAGCATTGTCGACTGGTGGTTTCCAGAGAAAGAGCCTTTTCTGTGGGGGCACCTACCCTTTGGAACAGGTTACCCCCAGGGATACGAATGATCCCAGATCTTCATACTTTCCGTCGTGCACTTAAGACCTTTCTGCTTCACCAAGCCAGGCTGGCATAAATCTCTTCTAATTGTTCTAAATCTTTATGCTGAAGATTCTTAACCGATGAACCAAATTGGCTTAATCATCTTATATTCACATTTTATATGTATGTTATTTTAACTGTTCACCGCCCTGAGTCCTTCGGGAGAAGGGCAGTATAAAAATTAAATAAATTAAATAAATAAATAAATAAATAATATATTAAATTGAAAACAATGTTTATAAACTAGGATTATTTCTGAAAGTTCAGTGTATTTTAGATTTGGTATCAAGCAAGTCGTCTCATTGAAATGTCATTAATTAATAACTATTGCTATAGGAATGAATGCAGTTTTATTATACATCATAGGAACGCCAATCTTAAAAACAATTTAGATGAAATTCTAAAGGAATAATGGAATAAGGTACCTCTATAACTCGGAATTCAGAAAGCTTTATTTATATGGGACTAGATAATAGGCTCAGGATAAACAGGAGAGGTAGGGGAATTGCTATTTTATATTTATATTACTAGGATTATCCATTATATTTGACAAATGCTTATTAAAAGCCATTCTGTTGGAAATCTTTAAAGTATCGGGGTTTTGTTTTTTTTTCCGAAAAATATAATTTCAGGCAAGGAAATTATACTGAGTGAAAAGAAAGAAATGATGTAATCGTGGGAGATTTTTTTTACAGTTAGCAACGTTACCTGATGCATTAGGCTAATATACTAGTATTACCATAAAACTGCTCAAGGGGTTGGTTAGATGTTGAAAGAGTAACTCCTAGCCATGAACTGCTTAGCTTTCACAAGTAGGTTCCATGTTCCCTCCACACAAAAGGAAAGATGAGGCTTACTACTGATTTCAGTCTCTGCAAATAAAGCGCCATCATAATACCATAGGTTAACACTTCTTTTAGCACAATGAATGTAGGATGCAACGACTGCCTAGCCAGAATGTTCATGAACCTGGCATGCTAACCTCATATTATGAAAAGTTTCCTTGTACCTGTTAAAGGAAGGAGACATTCTTGTTCCGTGCTTTCAAGTTTGCAGATTCATGTATACTAATCATTAGTTGCATCTCTCTTGTGCACGTATTGGTTTTGTGGGAACCTTGGCTTAGTTACTGACTTTGCATAGGCGCTTGCCAACCTGTTGCATAAGCAGATGGACCTGTTGAGCAAGGTCTGTTAAGTAAATCAGTTTATATACCTTATATTGTAATTTTGATCTTTCTAGAAAACAAAACCATGGCAACAAAGGAGAAGCTACAGTGTTTGAAAGATTTTCACAAGGATATCCTTAAACCTTCCCCTGGCAAGAGCCCTGGGACACGGCCTGAGGATGAGGCGGAGGGCAAGCCACCACAACGGGAAAAATGGGCCAGCAAGATTGATTTTCTGTTGTCCGTAGCTGGAGGGTTTATTGGATTAGGCAATGTTTGGCGATTTCCGTATCTCTGCTATAAAAATGGCGGAGGTGAGTATCCTTATTGTTATCCTCATAATTACCTACTGGTCTGAATGGTTATTTTGCCAACTCATAAAATTGTACTAATCATCCTTCTGTTTTTTCCCCCTCTACAGGTGCATTTCTCATACCTTATTTCATTTTTCTGTTTGGGGGAGGTCTTCCTGTATTCTTCCTGGAAGTGGCCCTAGGACAATATACCTCTGAAGGAGGAATTACATGTTGGGAAAAGATCTGCCCTATTTTCTCTGGTTGGTTATTTATCTACTTCTTCCTTAATATGTAGTATGGTATGAGGTTCTGTTAGAGTGGTAGGTTAACACAGAAAGGAAGTGTGGGTGGGTGGGGTGCTATGCAAGTGGAGAAGCCTTGGTTTTTAATAGCAGAGAAGGGGATTTATCTGAAACTCTTTACCCATTTGTTTTCTTCCATCCATGTGAAAGGCTGTCTCATGTATTTCAGGGTGAAGTAGAGTAGCGGTGGTAGAACAATTGGTCCAAGGACAAAGCCTGCTTGACACTTTAAATAAAAATAAAGCACTTTAAATAAAAATCTAAAGTGATTATTCTGAAAAGAATTGAAATCTTCTCAAAAGCAGGAAAATAATGCAATTTAACAGATAGGGGTTTTCTTTCCCCAACAAAACTTTGCCCTATACTGTATGACCTTGCTGTATATTTAAGTATTTTCATTAACACTGTTATAACAGTATTAACATATTTAATTATTTATTTGTATTCCGTTTTGTTCCTGTTTAATTGACAATCAAATGGCCTTAAATAGTCTTCTTTTAATTCTGTCTCCCCTCTGTCTCTCCTTCCTTCCTTCCTTCCTTCCTTCCTTCCTTCCTTCCTTCCTTCCTTCCTCCCTCCCTCCCTCCCTCTCTCTCTGTCTCAGTCTCTCTCCCTCTCCAGATGTCTAAATTTAGGCATTTGCCCCTGGAAGATAAAGAATTTGAACAGTTACCATGGCTGATGACAGCATAAATTATTGCTGAGCTCATGTACTCACAGATCATTAAATTGTTCCAGGGCATTTTGGTATTTTGTAAAGGGACTGTAGCTTAGACCATATTTTTTCCCTCTTTTGGTCTCCCACAGTGCTTACTTGAATCAAAATCCATTGCAAATTACTAGGACATCATGTCAAGTATGTGAGGTTAAGTTCGGGAAGGCTTATTCCCGGTGGTACATCATTAGCTGCTTGTATGACATTTTGAGTAACCACTCACATGACCTTATCTACCAATGAACCTGTGTTTGAAAAGAGAACAGAGTAGTTGTCAGGCACTGATAATAGAGTTAAATTTTATCTCCTAGCAGCCATGAGAATTTTGCAAAAATATTCAAGAAAGGAAGGGAAGTGATGCATAAATTGCAGCATTCTGTTTGTTGGAATTGCCTTCAGGTCTTTTTATATCTGTCACAATGTGTAGCTTTTCCTCAAGAATATTGCTGTTAGTGCTGCTGGCAATGGGGCTTCTCATATTAAAGCCATGAAGGAATATACAGTTACAAGAGCATTAACCTATTCAAGGTTTAAGAATGCTGTCTCTTTTTGCAACTGTCCATCCTAACATAGACTCTATTCCACTTCCTTAAATAATGTAAAAATTGAAGACTATTGCCTTAATCATTCAGGTGTATGATAGAAGCTTCTGAACTAGCAAGAGAAAAATGTTTGTTTGGTGATATGAATTGTCTCATACATTTTTCTTTCTTTTTTTAAAAAAAACAGGAATAGGTTATGCTTCCGTAGTGATTGTGTCTCTTTTGAATGTATACTACATCGTCATCCTGGCTTGGGGAATGTACTACCTATTCCAGTCATTTTCGCACACCCTGCCATGGGCTCATTGTCAGCAAGAATGGAATACAGAATACTGTGTGGAAGACACCCTCAGGAAGAACAAAACACTGTGGCTGTCATTCAATGCCACTAACTTAACATCTCCTGTCATAGAATTTTGGGAGTAAGCAAGTTTCCTTGTTACTGTGTACAGCAAAGAGACAGGGATTATAACTGGCAAGAGACACAAATATATTAGGAAGCATGCGGTATTGTCTAATCTTGTACGGGTTCACAAGGTATAACTACCCTGTTTCCCCGAAAATAAGACATCCCCTGATAATAAGCCCAGTTGGGCTTTTGAGCGCATTGCGCTAAAATAAACCTCCCCCCGAAAATAAACCAACCCTGAAAATATTAAAATGCAGAGCTGGAAATCAGGTAAGATGGCAAGAGGAGCCCCATCTTGCTCCACATGCCCCAAAATAATAAGACCTCCCCAAAAATAAGGCCAAGCACTTATTTCAGGGTTCAAAAAAATATAAGACAGGATCTTATTTTTGGGGAAACACGGTATCTAGACATTGCTTAAATCATAGATGAAGCAGTGATGGGTAGCATCAGTAGTAATGATGTCATTCAATAACATTTGGAGGTTAATACATTTAATATCCAGGAGAGTATTTTTTCCCCCTGAAGCCTGGTAGAAACTAAAACAACTCCTTTTCTTTTTGGATGCCCATACACGCACATAATGTTTAAAAAGCCTAAAGATTAATATTTTTTCCATTTTCTATACTACACATGAATGTGTGAACAGGTTCAGTAAAATAAAGGTGAAGTCTGGATAGTTAGGGTTCCTTTCTAAGCCTCCTGCATTAGAATAGAACAGAATGAGAAATAGAAGAGAGTAGACTTTATTACATTCATAAACCAACAAAGAAAAAACTTCTATAATAATACATTAGGTAATCCTTAAACATCATGGCCCATAGTAGGGCAGAGTTTACACAAAACCTAGACATGCTTAAGGACCCAGAGCTGTCTTTAGTTGCCTACTGGATTATGTAAGAAAAGTAAGTCAGAGTGCCTAGGGAATTTAGAGAGAAGATGGGGCATCAATTTTCCAGATAAGTGGCCAATTTGTATTTGGTGAAGTAGTTGGATTATGCAAGATGCATAATCAATTGACCTTCTACATCTAGAATCTTTTCCTTCAAAATTGAACACCCTTACTCTAATCCCAATGAAAAAGAACAGTCCAAGAAAAGACATTGGAGTATAATTTCCTGGAAAGAGCTTTTGTCCATGTGGAATCAAAACTATCTTCTATAATTAAAGGGAGTGAATCCAGCTGGCATATGTAATAATTTCAGCCAAAACGTAAAGATATTGATCCAAAGGCCAGATTCAATTCTAGAGAGCGCTGCTTCTTGCCATAGCACCATATTTGGAGCATAGTGAGGAGCCTGGAAAATATTTCTCAAACATTTGACTGGATTTGCCACCTCACTTACATGGCCCAAATTGAGATTTATTTTCAGAATTTTCAGAATTTTTAGTTATCAGCTTTGGGTTTTATGAGTAGGAAGCGGATTCAAGGCTACTTTTTGCATGTGACCTTTTGTTGTGCTAAGCCTTTGCTTACTTCAAACCAGGACAATCATTAGATGCAGCAGTATTTCCAGGAGACAGTTAAAACTAGCAGGGTGGCAGGCAGAGCTTTGTGATGGAAGTCCAGTCCCATGTGCTACCCAGAGTTGTTTAATTGGTGATAAGGGTGGCATATAAATTTAATAAATAAATAACATCTACGTGTGTTGTCACAATACAAGGGTGGGGCTTGCATCACAAAATTCCATCCATTAACTTTCCTTTTTGTTGTCCATTCCTCCCATGGACACTGTGATTGTCTAGTGTTTAAGGCACCAGGCTAGAAATCAGGAGACTGGGAGTTCTAGTCCCACCTTAGACATTAAAGTTGGCTGGGTGACTTTCGGCCAGTCACCGTCTTTCAGCACAATCCATCTCACAGTACCGTTGTTGTGGAGGAAATAGAAGGAGGAAAGAATATTAGATACATTTATCACCTTGATTTATTTATAAAAATAATAACAGCAGCATATACATATACATATACATACATACATACGTACATACATACATACATACATATATATATATACACATACATACATACATACATAATATCACAAAAGCAGCTCCACCTTTTTGCTGCCATCTAATAGTCCTCTAGTTGAAATACCATCCATGGGCTCAAAGTGGATATATTGTCAATTACACCAGTGGCCCCACAGTTTTTGATACCAGGGGCCAGTTTGGGGAAAAACAATTTTTACATGGACTGGCAGTGTGTGTGTGGAGGGGAGGGTTTGCATACCATTTATATCCTATGCATATGCTGTTGAAGCTACATTCACGCGACCGGTCCATGGAGCAGGGGTTGGGGACCCCTAAATTACATTATTGATGACCAGGATAGACATGAATTACAGAAAATCATTGATTTGTTCTCTTATAATAATAAGAGTTCACATTTTGTATCAAGGGAAATCTTCAGTAAGTTTATAGCCACATATCAATACATACTTATCAATTAATCTGTATATTGCGCTCTTTTTAAAGCTAGCAATTAATTTACATTGAAGGATAATTGAGGTGCCCTTGCAGCTATGTAAAGCCTTCTATTATTTGTTATTAACTCACTTGAAGTTTGTACATTCAGGAGACAACCATTCCATTTTATTAATCCTGGGTGTTTAGACGTTTGTGTAGTAAAATTTAGGTGTATTAGATTTATTGAAAAACTCACCTTTACATGCTAAGTGATGTAAATCATCATAAAGCCATTGATTATGCATCAGAGGCATAATAATTATAGTTTAGTACAACTAATGGCGTTTGCAAATTTCATGCTTGTTTGAGCATAAGTCATAAGGGATAAGCAAATGGAGCTTCATTTGTATCGAGTCCTCTTGGGATTGTATCACACAATTATGTGCTTCAGTTTCTTAGTTATTCATTCCACCATTTCTGGTTGTAAGCGTAGTATTGAAAAAGTAAGCATTAGGGGAATATCAGTAAACAAAAGTTTGCACCATTCAAATAGTCAATCCAAGGTTTAAGAGTTTCATAATTAAAATTTATGGATTATTAAATATCGTGAGTTCATCACATGCTTCAGAAATCCATCTAAGCAAACCAACTAAGAAAACTAAGAAAAATCCGATCTTGAAAGCAGCCGTAATTTTTTTAAAAATGTCTTTGTATTTTTCTTCTCTTCAGTGAAAGTTTTGCACAAAAACCAGTTTAAGATAATTACATAAAGCTTAACTATAGTTGTAACTTGAGGATTACCTGTATATAAAGTTGATATATCCTAGAGAAGAGTGATATTAAAAAGTATAAATGTATATTAAGAAGCAATTGGGCATGAATATACCATTTAAGAACAGAAGAGATCAATGCCACCATCACACTATATTTGCCCATCAAAGGCCAGCTTTTGAGCAAAGCCAATGAAATTGTTTGGTGATATATCTGTTGTCTTTTGTTTCTTTTTATCCTCAGGCGGAATGTTCTGAGGTTGAGTTCAGGCATTGATGAACCTGGTGTTCTCAAATGGGACCTGGCTCTTTGTCTTTTCCTTGTCTGGGTGATTTGTTTCTTTTGCATTTGGAAAGGTGTGAAGTCAACCGGGAAAGTAAGTTTCTGCTGCATTTCTTCCAGGCGATAACAATTCCTCTCTCTCCCCCCCCCCACCGCCAAAGATTAGCTTTGCTTAACTAAAGGCTTGACATGGTGTGTTTTTTTAAAAGTAGGCGTAACTCCAAAACATCATCACCTTGAGAGAATTAAAATATAGCATTAAGGAGTGTATTTTGAGCCAAACACTTAGCTGCCAAGCAGGATAGGATGTTCAGAAACTAATTTTAAATTTGAAGCAAATTTGGGACCTAAAATCCCCAACTTATTGCCTTAGCAAGGGCCATGGTTCAACTTTTAAATCTTTCAACCTTTCAAGCATATGTCTAGTTTATTGCAAAGATTGGGAATGCAGTTTCTTATAGGAGCTCATAGCTTTTTCAAAGTGCTTTCAAAAAGCCTAGTTTTTCCCCCCATTCCTTTTAACATTTATTAATCAAATGTGTATAGTGTATCTCACAAAAAGTAACTCTGCTTTTATTTTAAAAGGCTTTTTATAATCATTTATTAAGAGGATAACTGTACTTTTGCAAGAGAAAACATTACCAAATGGTAATTAGTTAATAGCTAGGTCTCTTTTCATCCTAAAAATATGCAAAAGAATGAAGTACAAAAATCCAGTTAAATTGCCCAAGAATGTGATATGTAATAATCAGAATCTTTCACAAGAATGCTTTAATATATTCTTTTAATTTAAGCAGGGATCCCAATATTTCATAAAGATACCTGCTGAAAATGTTTATCTTACGTTTAAGCGGTAATCCCTGTGTTTAAATGGATTAGCTTGGCAATAGAATTTACTAATATAATGAATGTAATTTTTTTCTTGAGTACAAGCCTCAGTTCATCTTACATCGTAGTAGATATGTATACAATTGTATTTCTGATTAGTTTGCATACAGAACGTCAGACATCCAAAAATATAGAAAAGGTGAAAGAAATGTGATTACCATTGAATATCTGTGGAGATTCTTAGTCATCCAGGTCAGAGTTGTCCCATGCTTTTTCAAATGGCAACTGCACTGTTTTTTCCTTAAGAAAGAAGAAGGCGACATTTTAAGAAGCTTCATCTAAGAAGCTTGATTGGTTACTATGACTACCATTATCTACTATATCTATAGACTGTGGTGATTTACCTAACTATACTCTACATGTCAAAAGTGGGGAGGAAAAATAAGATTTATTTATTCATTTGTTTATTAAATGTATATCCTGCCCATCTCCCCTATAAGGTGACTCTGGATGGCTTTTAATGTTAAAAAATAAGATTAAGTGAAAGTTTTCTTTAAAAAATGGGGATGATCTGTTTACATGCTTACAAATTAAATTCCTATAATATTTCAAAACAACAAAAAAAAGAAATATGAAAATGATAATGGAGTTAAACGTGTTGTATTTAAGAAATCAAACTGTCTGCAGGACTTGTTAGGTGCAGCAGGCATTAATATCTGCCTATTAATCTCCTGAGGTTTACTTAAGAGGCAAGGAGACAAACCTCAAGAGCTTTTATCTGACTAAACCATGAAACAGAAGTATATTAAACTGAATAGCACAGCTGGAATTACCAAATGGTATCATACAGTGGTGGGTTTAAAAATTTTTACTACCGATTCTGTGGACGTGGCTTGGTGGGCGTGGCATGGCATGGCATGGCTTGGTGGGCATGGCAGGGGAAGGATACTGTAAAATCTCCATTCTCTCCCCAATCCAGGGGAAGGTTACTGCAAAATCCCCATTTCCTCCCAATCACCTGGGACTTGGGAGGCAGAGAATAGATGGGGGCGGGGCCAGTCAGAATTTTTACTACTGATTCTCCAAACTACTCAAAATTTCCACTACTGGTTCTCCAGAACTGGTCAGAACCTGCTGAAACCCACCTCTGGTATCATATGATCTTATTAAAAAAATAAATGAAATTTGTTTTAAAAACCCAGTTTGAAATTAACTTGAAATTGTATGGTTAATAAATATTACCAAAGCCATGTTTGTAGTTAATATTTTGCACTATAGGTGCCAACTGGTGGGATTCTTCTTGTTTCCTATAAATCTAAATATAATTGATGGCCACATTTCAGTTCTGATTTTGATTACATGCCATCAATTCAGATTCCCCCCCCACCCAAAAAAAAAAAAAACCTGGTCCCTTAGCTCTTCCAATAATAACTCTTGGTAGCTGTCCTATTGTAAGCGAGTCAGTAGTAAATTCTTATTTGTCATGGGTCCATTTAAACCTTCAGTCCTGTATAACGACACCAACAATAATATAACACAACTATAAACTGAAATTTCATTTTTACAAATAAAAGAGCTTTTGCTATTTTTGCTGTTTTACTTTTCATTACCAGGTTGTGTACATAACAGCAACATTTCCATTCATCATGCTTTTTGTACTCTTAATCCGTGGTGTCACTTTACCTGGAGCTGCAGAGGGTATCAAATTTTACCTTTACCCGAACATCACTCGTCTGTCTGATCCAATGGTGAGTTGCTAAAAATATGAGATAGTGATAATTTCTTCCCTATATACTCTGGAGCAAAATGCATGGAGGGCAATGGGTTCATGCTGCAGATTTACTGATTACTTAACCAATCTATACTTAACTGAAGTTTTCTACTATGGTTCAGTTTTCCATTTTATTTTGTCAAAAAAAGCTATTATTAACATGTTAATGTATTTTCCATATGTGTATATCTTTTTGTATCAAAAGGATTCTGAGGCTTGTAGACTCTATCCAAATATAGCATCTCAGCTTTTTTGTTGGTATTAGTCTGTGGACAAGGTAAGGGAAATAATTTGCTTCAGTCTTTAGTTAAATTCGTGGAGCAGCAGAAGGAACGGTAAGAAGCACTTGTGAGTATTTTCAACTGTCCACTTACAGGGACATTCCCTGGGAGGGTAGCTAAAGGCCATATTATAGCTACAGTGGGAAAGAATTTTAAAAATGGCCCACTTGCTCTTATAAATGCTTGGAAAACATTTTTTCCCCTAATGTACAGGAACCCAGATTGATTCCTTTTGTTTTACTATGTATGAACCTTTTCAACTCCTTACAGATTGCATGTTAGAATGTGTTGTAAACAGCCACAAGATTTAATTCCTAAACCTGGGGAAATGCAAACCTGTCTATTCAAAAGAAAAAAAAAAGTGAAAGTAAGAAATAAGCAGAATCAGATTTAAGGATGCAAAGCAGCCTAAATGCTACAAGGCCAATGTAAATGCCATTGGGTACTATCCATCTCTAATGTTTTTGCAGCGTGCTTAAAGTTATCCTAAAAAGCTACTGCCCCTCTCCCTTTTAAAGGTTTGGGGCAATTCTGTATCAGCCTGCTTAGATTAGAATATCTGATTCTCCATGGCTGGAAGTAAGAAAAAAATACCATGTTTGGGATAAATATAATTCCTTTAAAAGTATGGAGTCCATGAAAGGCAAACTGTTCTCAAATGTCTTTTTTTAATAAATGTTCTTCTATTTCTGTTTTGTTTTTGTCTGCAAACGTGAAACTTTTTATTTATGTATATAAACGTATGCTATTGTTTAAACTGTTTTAAGTTCATTTTCATACAATGATGTTGTAATATGCCATGTAATATGATTAACTTTGGTCAATGCAGCATGGTTATGTTGTTAGGAACTGCTAGTCTTATTGAAGCAATACTGTTATGATAATGTTATTTTTCAAGAGAGAAAAATGGATTGTTTGGATAACTGATAGCTAAAACTGATACCAAGCACCATCTTCTGAGCTTGTTGTTTCTCATGTTTTCCTTAGGTCTGGATAGATGCTGGCACACAGATCTTCTTCTCCTATGCAATCTGCTTAGGTGCAATGACTTCACTGGGGAGCTACAACAAATACAAATACAACTGTTACAGGCAAGTTTCCTACCAAAGGGGATTAGTCTGTTAGCTAATTGATGTGTAAGGAACCATGGGTTCAAATTTTTCTTTAATTAATTTCCTCCATGACATATGTGTGACATAGGGACTGTTTGCTGCTGGGATGCCTGAACAGTGGTACCAGTTTTGTGTCTGGCTTCGCAATTTTTTCCGTCCTGGGCTTCATGGCACAAGAGCAAGGGGTGGACATTGCTGATGTGGCAGAGTCAGGTACGATGGTATTGGTGGCAGTGATGGTGGGCACTGCCATCCAGTGTGTGAGCAAAGTTCGACAAGCTAAATCATCCCAAAACTCAAAGGAGAAAAAGATTAAAACATAAAAGGTATTTCAGCAAACAAAGTAATGATTTATTTCACTGAGTAGTACAGTTTGAAATGTACTTTTTAAAAATGCGCTGAAATACAATATGGACTTTGAACGCTCAGGACTAAATCAGAATTACAGGAAATGTCAATAATGTATCAAGAGAGGTGAGCCTTTGGGGCTTACTTTGCCTTAGCTTCAATGAAATCTCTAATAGACATCATTCTACAATATCCATGGACCCACCATCTTATTCAAAACTATGCTAGAAAATCTGAGTTGGCTCAGATTTTGGTTTTTGGAACTGCAGCTTATATATTTTTAAATAAATCACTGATGATGGAATTGATGAAGTTTGTAACAAAGTGGTTCAAAAAAAATGGGTGAGAGGGAAAAGATAATCTTCCCTGTCACACCTCGCCTAGACTTCCAGTATGTGAAGTTAGATTAGCCAGTTTGTCTTCCCTAGTTACACTGTTGTATCTGTGTGCCTAAGGCAACGTGCCATGCATATTTCCAGATGTGGAAGTCATACAGGGATATATATATATATATATACATATATATACATATACATATATATACATATATACATACATACATATATACATACATACATATATACATACATACATACATACATATATATATATATATATATATATATATATATATATATATATATATATCTTTTCATTGTGTTTGTAAAATATTTTAAAGCTAAGCTTTCTGTATTCTGAAAGGATAGGCCCCTACTTATTTCTTTTGAACAAAGCATGCAAATTTTTTTTGGACTTCCCTAAAGCACTTGCACAGTTGATATTAAGACATGCTGGACCAGATGCTCAGTTTATTGCACAATCTACTGAAATCTATAGCGCTAAGACTCTCTGACAGCCATTCAGGCACAGGAGTACGGCAACTGGTAGAAAAAATAGTGTCTTTCCGAATTATTGGCCATCAATGGTTACTGCCCAAGTTGTGTATTTTATTTGTCTGCCTGATTCAGATCTGGAAGAGTCATAATTGTTTAAAAAGGTATAAATGTGAACCAGCCAGTAAAAGGCTGTGTCTAATGTAATGTACAGCTAAACTGGCAGAAAAAAAGTTTCCGAGGCAGGTACTGTGCGGAAAGCAACTCCATATTGTGTTGTGTAACATATTGGTTCGTCTTCCTGTGCCATGCCATCGGTGATAAGGAATGGCAATAAGAATTGTAGACTTAATTTCAAATTTGTATTTCTGCTGTAATTATATATTTCTTAGGGCTCTTTGTGCTTTGAAAATGGTGCAGGCCTGGCACAGCACTTCTCTGCTCTACCTTAGAGCTGCCTGACCTTTCTCAGGCTTTTTCATGAGCCTGTAGAAAGATGCTGCTGTTGCTTCTGCTTAGACAATCCGCTTCATTAAAAGGAATGGAATGCTTCCTCAAGGAGGGTCATGTTTTTCCCCCAAGCTGGCACCAAAGTCAGGCTGCTTTAATGAATAATAAAGAGGGGGTGCACTTGTGGTGGGACAAAAGTCCAAAGCATGCACGCCTCTGATATTCAATCCCAGAAAATGTGGGAGCTGATGTGGCAGTTAATGTACTTTAATCTTCCATACAATACAAAGCTACGTTTACTTAACTCTATTGATTTCAGTTAGTTCACACATTCTTAAGGCAGCAGTCTTGTGCAGTTTAACCTGGGACTAAGCCCTGCTGGACACAGTAAGACTTAATTCTGAGTAAGCATGCATATAGGATTATGCTGTGCCTCTGGAATGGCAGCCTTTGTTTCTGAAATTTTGCATGCCTTATTCAACCATCCCACTGAACATAATTGCTATGAAGAGGTAACAAGGCTATATTGATAACTATGTTAAATGAGACCATTAGTTTCAATGGAACTTAGTGTTAGACAGGATTTCAACTAAAACAGCTTAATGAAAGAATTAATACACTGTAGAATAAATAAGTGAACAATATTTATTTATTTAATTTATTTTTCTTATACTTATATGCTGCCCTTCTCCCAAAGGACTCGGGGCGGCTCACAGAAATTAAAACGATGAAAACAATAAAAATAGCTACTAAAATAATCAATTAAAATCTCCCAATGAAAAATCACCCATCAGATTAGCAAATTTGTTGGAAAAGCCATGTCTTCAGGTCACGGCAGAAAGAGCGGAGGTCAGGGGCCGTCCGGAGCCCCATGGGTAACCCATTCCAGAGGGTCGGTGCGCCCACAGAGAATGCCCTCATCCTGGGCTCCACCAGCCGACATTGTCTGGCCGATGGCACCAGGAGGAAGGCAGTCCTATGTGTGAGCGCACAAGGCGGTGGGAGGCAGGCAGAAGGTGGTCCTGCAGGTACCCCGGGCCCATGCCCAATAAATAAAATTGAATAACATGGACCTTCTGTGAAATTGGGCCATCTTAGTTATGAATCCAGGGTACTAGAACGCTTTGGCTCTTAAGATACATCCACCAATGTATAGATGGAAAAGGTTTTGTCAAACAGCGTATTTGTTGGATCAAAGAAGAAAATAATGACCATATGAGATCTTTCATCCAGCAGAATATTTAGGATTACCTTAACAATGCATAATGCAAGCAGGATTGGGCCCCAAAGTTTCAATCTAAAAAAAGTGAATTGAATCTCTTTCTATTAGAATCAATGGGATAGCTGTAGTTAAACGCTTATTAATTTAAATGAGGATAGTGCAGTTAATATATTATGGGAAGTAGGTTTGAGCATATTTTTGCATCTTTCTAAATATATATTTTGTTAAACTGAATGGAAAATAGAAGATGGCAAAAACATACCTGGTGAGTGGCCAGGTACTAATTCATAGGGCGTACTTTCCAGTTTAAAATATGGAAGAAAAGCAAAAGAACAATAAACATAAATATCTTAGTCCAATTTAAACAAAAAACTTGCATGAAAAGTGTTGTTGCAGTATTTTCCCATCATGGTTAAAGTATCAGTTTTAAATAAATACAAGCCTATTTCAACTCTTTATTGTACTTGAATTAAAGGGCCCCAAAATAAAATGATAATTATCTCACATAACTATTATAGAATTGTGGCTGTTTGGGGTTTTTATTGAATAATCCACAGGGAAAGCAATAAAAAATATACTATTGACTTTGCTGTTGATAATCTTACTTGAAGGACAGATCTTCAGATAGTATTTGTTGCTTTGTATCCTAAGCAAATAATACTGACTATGTTAGATATCTGCAAATGGGTTTATTATTGCTGTATTGAGACAATTTACTAATGTCATTTGGCAGTCAATTGTAACCAAGGATGGATTCTATTTGGAACATTCTCCCAAGCCATTACTGTCTTCTAATGGAAGCTGTTAAATCATTTCCTTTGTTTCTATATTTAACACAGTACTATGTGATATTCATAGAATTCTGGAGTTTTACACCACTTCAGGATCTGCCCTTCTCTGGCGTAAATCCTAGAAACTACTATTTGGGTTTTGTTTGTCCCAAGGAAAAAGTTGTGCATGAATAACCCAAGAGAAAATTAAGAGCCCAGGATTTTTTTTCCCTTTAAAGATCATAGAAATTAGTCATGCAATAATTATATCTCATTTAGTTCATAAGCTCTCTTTCTGAATGGAGTGTGCTGGGTTCTGCTTTTTTTTTTTTTCCATTTACCTTTTAGATTGGAGCTGGTATAACCATGCATGCTTCCTTGTCAGATAGAATTAATTCCTTTATGGAAGCCTCAGTTGGGTTTGGGTTGATCTGAATGGAATCAGGCAACTTATGAGGGGAAGGGGGAGGTTTTCATTCAGAAATGAATTAAATACTTACTACGTTGTCTCCCTTTCCCCCCTTCCTTTCTCTCTCTTTTTATTCCTCTAGGTCCAGGTCTGGCCTTCATTGCTTATCCAAAAGCTGTGTCCATGATGCCGCTGCCAACTTTTTGGGCTATTCTTTTCTTCGTTATGCTTCTGTTGCTTGGCCTGGACAGCCAGGTGAGTAAGTGGTAGTAAATGTAATATCTGTGGCTTTTAATAGGAAAATCTGTACATAAATATAATTATTGTGCTTTGGAGCGTTGAGTGTTTCCATAGAAGAATCACTTGTCTTTCTTCCTACTAAGATTAATCAAGAAAACTGACAATGTTATTAATTAAACTGCCTCTTATCATGACATTACAGCATAGATTTTATAATAGGAATCCCCAAAACTTCTTGAAATGAGAGGCACTAGTGGAGTTCTGAGCAGTTTGAGAGGTGATTGCAAAATGACTATAGGCAGGCACATAAAATGCCTGCACACAAAGCAGATAAGTTAATTTTCAAATGCCTACTCTGGGGGGCAAAACCAGTTACAAAACACCAATTTGGTATAAAGGTGCCTACTATCCTCTCTAGTTTCTGCCTCCGCTTAGAGCAGGGTGTCAAACTTGATCTTGTCACATGATGTATTGCGACTTTTTTCCCCCTTGCGGAGCCAGGGTGGGCGTGGCGGCCAGTTTCACAGGCCTGGCTTAGAGCAAACATACAGGCATGTCTTTAATTAACCCTTTTTAATTCTACTTACTTCTACTCTTTGCTGGGACAATTGATGCAGCTTCAAAACAAAGTGTTAAAGCTACAAGTAATAACATTGGAAATAAGATATGGAAGCTGAAACTTTATTTTACTCCTTCCTTCCTTCCTGCCTGTCTGCCTGCATATAAATGCAATTAAAATAATCTAAACTTTAGAAAAAGACACAGAAGATATCAAATCCAACAGGGATGTGGGACCCTGGGTGTCACACTGGGGATCCTACCTCCACAACATAAATAGCTTTTATTACTGTATATTTTGCAATTCATGCACATATTTGTTTATTAAAAAAGATACTTTTTTAAAAACATCACTCAAACTCTATTAAAGGATAGACTAAACCTGAAAAGTGACATTGGAATGTACAGTCACATATAATTTCCTCTTCCCCTGCTTCAAGTCTATCAGTTTGTCAGATATGTGCTTATTTCTTATACTCTTGTCACTTCCTTGTTCCATTTCTGCCTTTAGGCATTTGCTTCTCAAAATGTTTAGGCAAATCCAATGGAATGGGAGTAAAACTCAGAATAAAAATGAAGATGGCCCCAGGTTGCTCTTTCTACTTATAGCCATATAATTCAAAGGACTTGATATATGTGAATCAGTGTATACGCTGGATATTTTTGCCTGTCCTCAGCAATTTGTTTTCTGGGAGACAGAGCAAGGGAGACCTTGTTTTCCTTCCCTCTCAAGGCCTTTTATGTGACACAAAGAAATCTATTAATAATCTCCAGACTATTACAAGTCACACAGCTGTCCTAGGATTTTAGAGAGGACTTCTTTGAAATGGTTTAACATTTTAAGCCAACAAGCTCCTAATTGTTGTTTGGGAAAATAGTTAAAATGTTGCATTAATCTACTAGCCTGGGACAGAAACTTTACTGAATTCAAAAGCTTCTCATATGAGTGGAGATTAGAAGAATTTTCCCTCTGGTTGTTATTTACTTAATCTCATAATTTGGCAAAGCATTTCATTTGTTCTAAATGGTTCTTGGGGGCTTAATCTTTGAATGCCAGTGAGTGACTTTTAATCACTTCCAAATTGAATGTTAGACCTTCTCAGAGCTGTGGTTCTGCAACCAAGTACTTATGTAAATTAAAGGTTGCCTGGTAATGTTCAGTCATTTCAGTTCAGGCTCACTGTGTCAAATAATTAAAGCTAATTGGAGCACTTAATGTTTTGTTTGCTTTTGGAGCCCTGTCAAGCTGGATTTTGGAATGCTACAGCAGCTTTAGGACCAAGCTGGATACAGTTACATGGCAGGAGAAAAAGAAAGTCAGAATTTCTTAAGGGCTAAAACCCCAGATTTCTAAGGATTATTAAGAAGCTATAATAAGCCAAATAGTGATTGGTTGTGGAAACAAATGTGAAATTAAGGACAATAAAGAATATGCTCACTTTAATAAAATAATAAACAAAAAAATGCAAGTCGTGGAAGTATGTCAGCTCACAAAAGCATTTTAGAACTGCCTCTATGTGATAGTTGCTTACTTTTTTTTAAACATACTAAACTTCTCTCTGTAAAGTGTTATTTATTATCAAATTACTTATATGAATAGAACATTTAGTAAAAAAAAAAAAAAAAAGAACCACACAAATCTCTGTAGGGTTCTTTTTACCCAGTATACAAAGGTAGTTTATTTTTACTAACTGAACCACAAAACAAGACAAAAGCTAAAAGATTACAGGTTTGAAAAAAGGGTTTGTTTTTTCTTAAAGGAATGTATACATGCTTGCATGTGTATCTATGTGTATATTCAAAAATAATTGGGTGAACATTTTGAGCACCTACATTCCATACTTCTAGCTAGTACTAAATTTTATTTTTCTAATAATGGCTTTTGTTGTTATTGCCTATCTTGCTTTGTTTTTATATTAATATATCATAGCTGTTTGCTCCACTTTATTAAAACATTAATATAGTTAATTAGAAGAGTGGGACAACTGGAATTATCTTAAGGTTTTAGAGTATACAAAGAGTATGCAATGTTTGTGCAGCTAGTCCTCAATTTATAACCCTTTGCTTAGTGACCATTCAAAATTACAACAGCACTGAAAAAAGTGACTTATGATTGTTTTCCACATGTATTTATGATGTTTGCAGTGTCCTGGGGTCATATGATCACCTTTTATAAACTTCTGACAAGCAAAGTCAATAGGGAAGCCGGATTCACTTAACAACTTAGCAACTGTATCAAGAATAGGGAAAAACTTATTTAACAACTGTTTTGTTTAGCAATGGAAATTTTGTGCTCAATTGTGTTTATAAATAGAGGACTACCTGTACCCCTAAAATTTTCCCTCCATTTAACATCTCATCATGATTTATATTAAATTTTTAGCACGGAAAATGAAAGCCAGCTTTCTTAAATCTACAGTTGAAAGGGCTGCATGAAAATAAGGGTGTTTTTTTAGCCATAGAACTCTTTCTCTGAGGATGTCTGATTCATGCTAGAAGGAAACAAAAGGGTAGAAATATTTTTCTGTTGAGAAATTATGAAAACTTACTGTCATGCAAGGCACTACATGGAAAACAGCTTATCAAGTTTCTTCCAAGAATTACTTGATTTTACCCTGGAGCGTCTACAAACAGCCCTATCTCTTTACTGTCTTATTTCTCCTTTTATTCATAAGTTTGATGCTTACAGTAACCAAACTCACATCTAATTAGGAAGTGAAAGGGAAATCAGTAAACCCACTAAGAGTTTATTATCAGCTCCAGTGTTGGAATATTGAAAAATTAAATACAGTACTATGTAAATAAATGGTGAAGACTAACTCTCTTTTATAAGGGATGCATTTTTACACAAGAATAAAATAATACATTGCATTAACCCACTCATTTTTTTATTCTCCTCTACAGTTTGTTGAAGTTGAAGGGCAGATCACATCGTTAGTTGATCTGTACCCATCCTTCCTAAGGAAGGGTTACCGACGGGAAATCTTCATTGCTATAATCTGTTTCCTCAGCTATCTTCTGGGACTATCTATGGTGACTGAAGTAAGGAATTGGCTGGTGTTGCTTTTCTTCTTCTTTTTCTATTCAGTGCAAGGAGTCATCGTAGCATAATGGTAAAACAAGTGCTTTGCACAAGGAAGCTCCCAGGAGATGCTCCTTCCCATGTTTATTTAAAATGATTAGGTGTTGTGAAACAAATATTCTGCCTGAAAAACCTGGAGTGCTTTTACCCAAGTAAATAGAGAGAGAAAGAATTATTCAAAGAATTATTCTGCAAACAATTTAAATCCCTTTGTACTGTCTTCTAAATTTAGCACATGTTCCAATCTAGACTTGTGTCGATTCAAACTTTATAGTGTCCTGCTAATGATGAAGCATTGTATTTCTGCAAGACTATAATCAACTACATTTTTGTGTGTGAAATAGACAGATATGAAAAGAAGCTAATTAAACATAAAACATGTGGGAAATGATGTCTATCTCATATTCAGAATGTTGTAACATGGCATTCTAGATAATGCCGTGCCTGAAAGAAAATACCATGCTTTAGGAAAAGAAATCCATCATCCTTATATTAGGCAGCTCTTGGTGAGTTTTACCTAAGTATTATATTCACAACTCAATTGTCTTCACGATTCATTTCCTTCCTTCTATCATGTTTTTATAAGCGTTGCCCTAAAAAAACACAGTTTAAGCAGCAGTGGTGGAATGGTGTTAGTCAAGTGGTTTAATTTTATTCAATCATCTTTCAAAATGCCTTCTAGAATAAGGAAAGAGTGCAGGTTTTAGGAAATACATGAATGTATACTTTTTCATGTCCAAAGAGTTGACTGGCAATTGTATTTGCTGGCAGAAAATTTTGTAAACAGCAAGTTAAAGATATAAAAATCACTGTTTTTTTACAATGTGTGTTTCATGTGTATCTTTGTATTAGTGTATTAATACCAATGGGGGTTCCTTTTTTGTCCTTTTTCAGGGTGGCATGTATGTGTTTCAACTCTTTGACTACTATGCAGCTAGTGGTGTATGCCTTTTGTGGGTCGCATTCTTTGAATGCATTGCTGTAGCCTGGGTTTATGGTAAGTTGGAAGTTGAGTTCTGATCTGACCGTTTCTTCACAGCAGCACTGAAAGCTACAGAGATCTTGCAACACTGTAATATACAGTAGTTCCTAGAGACAAACCGAACAGAGGATAGAGGAAGGATAGAGAGATGAAACCTTACAGGCCAAGGAAGGAATTTATTACATGGCTTCTCTGCATACTGGGAATTCAGCCAAGTATTTCAGATTTCTTGGAAAACATTCTCACTTGACCTCCAAGAAACTGAGTTCATTGCTTTCCTCTTTCTTGTAATGCTTCATTTTAAGGCTGTAAAAGTTTGCCTGACCTCCTGAAGTCATAAAAGGGTAGATTTTAGAGGCCAAGAACCACAGTATCTCCCCCCACCCCGCCTATTGCTTTTTATCTGCTTGGTACAAAGAAGGAAACATATCTATAGAATAACTTAAGTATTGTGCTTTTATTTCACAATATCCGGTTAGGATACACAAGGAGATAAAGGAGGCCATTTCCAAATTTAAGAACACCAAAGCTCAGGAGAACAAAAGTGTAGAAGACAAAGCAAAAAAATAAAGGCTTTCATGGAGTTTTTCACGCTCACAATACAATAAAAGCATTTCTCCTTGAAAATCTAGCATAGCTGTAGAGTATACATAGGCAGAATATGCAGAGTAATATAATTACTTTCTTCTGTGCTGAAACTCTAGGCGCTGACAATTTTTACGATGCCATTGAAGATATGATTGGTTACAGGCCTGGTCCTTGGATGAAATGGAGCTGGACTGTAATCACACCAATTCTCTGCGTGGTAAGGATGGACATGTCTTTGCCTAAACTTGATTTAGAATGTTTTTGTAAGTTTAGTTAGCTTTTTTGTTCCTTGCATTGTCTGAAAAGAAATAAGATTGAATAGTTAAGTGTTCAATGAGTAATGTGTTTATTGTGTAAACTCTTCACTGATTACAAGATTTTTACTGACCTGTAACTGGCTTCTGTAGCTTACATGTTACTTTTGGCATTAAAGGAGCAATTTTGAGGTGAAGGATGGGTTCATCTAAAATTTTGAGAACATTTATTTATTTATTGATTGATTGATTGATTGATTGATTTGATTTGATTTGATTTGATTTGATTTGATTTGATTTCTATACCGCCCTACTCCTGAAGGACTCAGGGCGGTGCACAGCCAAACAATAAAACACATACATACAAAAGTAGAATAATAAGTAGATTTACATTTAAAAGTAGAATAAAATCAAATTAAATAATTTTGGCCCCGACAAATTTAAAACCCCAAACTTTTAAAACCAATTTAAAATTGAATGTATAAAATACTAAAAGATATTTAAAAATTAAAAATCTTTTATAAAAGAGGGAGAAAATTAGGCCAGGCCCGCCTGGTGAAATAGTAAGGTCTTTAAAGCGCGGCGGAAGGTGCGCAGATCCGGGATCCTCCGTATCTCTGGGGGAAGCTCGTTCCAGATAGTAGGTGCCCCCACAGAGAAGGCTCTCCCCCTGGGGGCCGCCAGTCGGCATTGTTTGGCTGACGGCACTCGGAGGAGCCCCTCTCTATGGGAGCGTACCGGCCGGTGGGAGGCTATTGGTGGTAGTAGGTGGTCCCGCAAGTACCCAGGTCGATGTAGATAATAGCAGCCATACTGAATGATTGTGTGGGCATTGTTTTATTTACTATATTTTACTATATTATATTATACTATATTTTATTGTAATATATTATACTATAATATATTACTATATTTTATTTATTTATTCTACATGGGGCTCCCCTTGAAGAGCACTCGGAGGCTCCAACTGGTCCAGAATGCAGCCGCACAGGTGATTATGGGTGCAACCCGTTGCACTCATGTAACACCTCTCCTGCGCGAGCTGCACTGTCTCCCAGTGATCTTCCGGGTGCGATTCAAGGTGTTGGTTACCACCTTTAAAGCGCTCCATGGCTCAGGACCTGGGTACTTACGAGATCGCCTTCTGCCACCGATAGCCTCCCACCGACCAGTTCGCTCCCATAGGGACTCCTCAGGGTGCCGTCGGCCAAACTATGTCTGCTGGCGACACCCAGGGGGAGAGCCTTCTCTGTGGAGCTCCTGCCCTTTGGAACGAACTGCCCCCGGATATACGCACAATCTCTGACCTCCGAGTTTTTCACTGTGTCCTCAAGACCCTGCTCTTCCGACGGGCAGGGCTATCTTTGTAAAGAAGTTTTAAATTCGGAGTTTTAAATTTTTGGGTTTTTAATGAATCTTGGTTGTAAATGTAATAATTTTAATAATTTTAAAATTTAATTGGGATTTGTATTGTGTTTTTTACTTGGCTGTGCACCGCCCCGAGTCCTTCTGGAGGGGGGCGGTATACAAATAAAATTATCTATCTATCTATCTGTCTGTCTGTCTGTCTGTCTGTCTATCTATCTATCTATCTATCTATCTATCTATCTATCTATCTATCTATCAACTAGCTACCACTGTGATGGTGGCCAATGACTCAAGTACTGTGCAGTATTGCCCAGGCTAACTCTGCCCAAAGCCTGAAGTTTATTCCTGATGGGCTTAAGGTTGACTCAGCCTTCCATCCTTCCAAGGTCTGTAAAATGAGGAACCAGATTTTGGGGGGCAATATGCTGACATTATAAACCACCCAGAGAGAGAGGGCTGTAAAGCACTAGGGGATATGTATCGTGTTCCCCCCAAAATAAGATCAGGTCTTATATTAATTTTTGCTCCAAAAGATGTATTATGGCTTATTTTCTGGTTAGGTCTTATTTTGGGGAAAATACAATACTAGACGCCTCCGTCTGATTGACTATCTTAAAACTGGGGCTTATTTTTGGAGTAGGGCTTATGCTAGGGCTTATTTTCCGGCTGGGTCTTACTTTTGGGGAAACATGGTATAAGTCTATGTGCTGTTGCTATTAGTATTTTGGTCTGGTTTTTTTATTCCTGGATAGGCTGGCCATTTCCAAACAAAATACTGGACTGTGGCTACCTTCCTTTTTTTTTTTTTATTAACTCAGCCAGGCATCAGACTTATGCATATTTGTCAAAAACATCCTTTGCCCCAAATGCAATAGAACAGCTGAATAGATCAGGTGGCATGTTATGCAACTCAAGGTAAAGACAAACAGGCAGTGTTATGGACATATAAAAGACCTTTCTTCTTTGTGGTGTGTGGTAATACTACTCAAGTTAATTTTCATGCTTTACTGCACACCATAATTATTTATACTTGCTGCGAAACTTGAATATTGAAGGAACCAGGAAAACAAATCGGCTTAGCTGACTCCTTGTTTAAAATTCCTGTGGCACAACCCTGAGTTTTAAAGTACAATTTTATGAACATTTTCCCTTCCCATTTAAATATTAATTTGTTCCTAAGCTTTTGCAAGGGTTAGAGAGCTACGTTCAGAGGCCCAAGACTTTAAAGAAATGCAGCCATCCATACGAAGACAAAAAGATTATGAAGACTTAGGAATCAAAAGGAGACATTCTCCCCCCCCCCAAAAAATCCCTCTGTCCTTGAAAAAAAATGTTTCCATTTATTAGACTAATCATTGATAATGTAAATCAAAGCTAGGCAATTCTTAACAATATTTGGGAACTAAGGCCTAATGGATAGAGTCATGAAGTGAAGGAGGAAGAGCCAAGATTTTCACACTTTTCCTTGGGTTTTAAGGACTTTGGTGTTTGGCTTATTTTAAAGTTTTACATTATCATTCACCTCTATTTCTTCCCTCTAAAAATTCTGTTGATTTCAACAATCATAATTGAAAGGGTTCCAGGCAGCCACCGAAAGGCGTTTGAGAGGCTGGGGTGGCTCATTGCACTGTATAAACTTTTATTGAAGAAAGCATAATTGTTTCCTTGTGCTTGAATCTCTTTTTGCTTTTTTTCCTCCCTCTGACATAGGGGTGCTTCATATTTTCTCTAGTCAAGTATACCCCCCTGACCTACAACAAGGACTACATCTACCCTACGTGGGCAATCGGTCTGGGTTGGATACTTGCTCTTTCATCTATGATCTGCATCCCGTTGGTTACAGTTATCCGTATCCTGCAGTCGGATGGCTCTCTCCTTGAGGTAAATCCAAAATATACAGTTTTATAGAAGCTAATCATTTATTTGCTTTGTATGCTCTGAAGTCAATTTGTATCCTTTCAAATTCCTGAACAAATCATGAGTTTCCTCGACAACATTTTCTTCAAAGGTGATTTGCCCTTGGCTGAGAAAGAGGGACTGATCCAAAGTCACCCAGCTGGTTTCACATCTAGGGCTGGACTGGAACTCACAGACTCCCAAATTCTAGCCTGGAGGCCTTAAACCACCATACTAGACTGACTCATTTATATAGGAGCTAGCCATCGAGTCACAGAAAAGTTAGGATAAATTTTGATAGTAGATTTCAAAAAGATTTCCAAGATCAGGAAATCCTGTGGTATTCTCCAGTAGCACATCTCCCCTCGTGCACACTCCATAAAAGTTGCACATTTCATTTGTATCATGCACAGAGTGGAAGGAGCTAACTTCATTAGCTACAATATTGAGTTTGGGAGCCACCTAGTGGAAATTTAACCTCCTTCCTTGTATGACTTTCCTAATTGGTCTCCCCCTTTTACACACTGTACACTTTCCTAATGATAAGATTAGTTTTCTCATCCCAGCCTGGTAAGGGGTTATCTTGTAGACAGTGACTTTGGGGAATCAAACCATATCCAATTGGTTGTCATATCATCTATAAATAAATTGCTTGATAATGGTCACACTTGGCTTAACTAAGCATGTGAATCAGAATCCTTCTGCTATTTGAAGTGTGTGATTATGAAGTAAAGTAAAGCCTTGCTCTATTTCCCCAATGGATAGTCAGTCAATTGGAAATTCATAAAGAGAACAATTTTAAAATAATTATTTAAATCAAATTGAAATGGTACTTCTTGGCTTGCAAGGAAAGATAACAATCTCTCTTGTTCTATTTCATGGTAAATAGCTGTCATGTTTAATAATATGTACAGTACTTTTCAGATGGGAGCATCCATATGCAGCTTACTAAAACAGCCATGTCTTTTTCATAGCTGTGTGAATTTGGAAAAAGCAACAGCCAATAACTACCATATTTAAACTTTGCTATATTTCTAAGTACCTCTTCCTATTGAATCCAAAATAGGTAACATCCTGAATATTTAATATAGGTTAGCCTCCATAAATTTGTCTGGAAGTCTCTTCATTTCCATGTACACATTTCTCCCCAGAGGGTGAAGACAATGGCTGCTCCTCGTGAGATCACACGGTGGGACAAAGAAACAGAGATTGCTGCCACGTTCGGCCCTCCTGGCCTGGCCAATGGAGAACTGATCAAGCCAAGTCATGTCATCGTGGAGACAACAATGTGAGCTCTCTCTATGAGAGGAGGACACCTGCTTTAAAACTGCTGTTTACTAACCATAGAATCTTTCATAGGACCAGGTTTACAGAGCTTTATATTTGCACTAGGGTTATTTTTATTTCTCATAGAGAAAAGTAATTTTTTGTGTGTTTGGTTTTTATTTTTTAATATTTTGTAAAGTAAATCACAGCAGATGGCTGTCCTGCTCTATTTAGAAACAGAGCTTTCATATCAAATTAGGCACACTGCAGGAATTTATCTTCTGTTTTCCACACAGCATATCTAACTAACTTTTATTCATATGGCTACTTTACCGTTTTTAGTTGATTTTTCTTGCCAACAGTATACCCAGGTGCAATCTTATGCATACTATCTTGCAAATATGCCTCAATGAACATAATGGGACTTACTTCTGAGTAGACATATGTAGGATTGTGTTGATACGTATGCATACATGTGCGCATATACAAGTTTTAGGTTTCTCTGGGTGTTGATGTGGTTGGGAACAGGGTAGTGCAAAATTTTATTTTGGACTTTTTTTAACCAAAAAAAAAAAAAAAAGCTCTGGCATTTTAGAAACTGGATTTTAAAGGTGTGGCACTATCTTCTTCTGGTAGAAACAGGAAGAATTAAAGAAAGAGTACATGTTTTTATGTTATGTGAGTGAGCCATATGGGAATATATTTATGTGATAATTGGAAGCTGCAATATTGTAGCTGCAATTATATGCCACCCAGAGTCATTTTTTTCTGTGTGAGATTGGTGGCCATGTAAATTTGATAAATAAATAAATATAAGCTGGGGTTGGAACCAGGGGAATAATCTAAGCATCTTGTGAACAGGCTCTAAGAAGGTGGCAGAATCATTCTTGCTGGAAAGGCATTTTAATTGATAATCTTTCTGGGACAGAGGAGATTATTTCTTCCATCACCAGAAGAATTGATTCTACATTTAATAACAAGGACAGTTTCTATGGAGACTTAAATACAGAGTACGGTTGAGTTTCTCATAGATTTAGAGAGATTATCTAAAAGTTGATATAAAATACTGGTAAGCCTGAATCTGTCACCTATAGTTCTCTCAGTCTTAGACAGGAATATAAATTTGATAGTGTAATCATGTAACTAAAAGAATATAAAAACTGGCCCATTCTTGTAGTCTGCACCTGAGAAATAAGTCATTTGGACTTGGATTTTGTTAGAACATCAGGTTAGTGTCAGAAAACTCATTGTATAATGCTACATTTACAAAGATGCTGCAAACCATATTTAAAGTCACATATTTGCCAAACTTTATCTTTGTTAGAGCGAAAAAAGGAGTATTGGGTGTGTATCATAGCAGTCAGCTAAGTTGCATAGCGTTGAGTGCAGATGCAGAAAAACATCCACTAGAATCTATTGATGAAGAAGCTACTACAACAAGAAAGGACAGAAAGAACGCAGTTGAGAAAAAGTAGACTGATATTCACAGGCTAAAAGTGTCATCATTTATATCCATTGATCCAAGGAAACGCAAGGAGATCAAGTAAGCTATAAATTTATTTTAGACTGAACGAGGCATAAAATACTCAACGGGAGTTGTATTGGTAAGTTCCCCACTTTTCCCAAAATGAGGATTTGCCTCTGGAAAACACCCCGAATCCTGCAAAGCTTATGTTTTGCTTTCAATCTTCATTGAGTAGTGGCTCAACCCTTTTCCATATGGGCATTGATCTTAGGGGGAAGGGTGCCCCCTTTAACCTTTATATTGGTAGTAAACACAATTTGAGCAGGATTGTGAGCCAGAAATAGCAAAACCCCTTTCGTTTGTAATTTCTTCTAATTTTGTCTGTCAATTGAGATACTGTAGTTGAAACTGGAACTTAGCCAGTATTTGAAAACATTCCTATATGCTTTAAGAAAAGAAAGAAATTAAGAATCAATTTGTGTCTTATGGCCACTGCATATGCATTATGCACATACTTGTTATGTTAGTTTTATATATATATATATAAAAAGAACTGTAAATAAAGGACCAAAACAGTTATTTCAGGTGTCTTGTTTAGCCAATATTTGTTTGTGGATGGAGTCTGTGATTTATTTTATTTGAGGGAACAGAGCTTGCAGTATATGCAGGTGGCCATGAAGAGAATGCTTTGCTTTCTTGTTACCAAGAGCTGATAAGTAAACACTTCCAGAGTACAAATCCTTTGGAAATGTTTATCTTCCTACTATACTGAAAAATGGCCAGTAAAAAGATTAGTTACAGAAGAAGCAAGGAAGCCAAGAGAAAGCTACTGTTTGGCTTCGTTTTCTAATCCTGCAAAACCAAAGATGGCAGGGCATTGGTATTGCAAACCACATTGCATTCCAGATTGGACTGCAGCAGCAAGAAATTAGGATGAAGGCAAGTCTTAACAGTTCGTTCACTTGACTTCCCTGGTGCATTTTACATGAAAGATAGTGCAATATTTTGCTAGTTTCAAGAACAGCCACTGAACCAAAAGCAGATATATCAACCAAGGGAATACCCTAAAGAACATAGCATGAGAGGATGTTTTCTAAGAACAAACCAGAGAATCAGTCCCACATTGTAAACTTCCATCTAAGAAGAGTAGCACCCAACCCATTTCAAGGTTAAACTGTGCAATCAGAATCAGTTCCTTCCAACTAAAAAAGTAAACAGGTTTTCTCATCATGACAAGAAAAAAAAAGTTAAATCAAATTTTTGTCACATAAGATTTAGCCCATCAACCTTCATTTTTTGTGTCAAGGATCATATTTTCACACAGCAAAACTTGTGAATAATAGAATGTTATATCTGAATGTTAAGAATAGATTCTGCCAAATAAGGCCAATGGATGGGAGGGGGTGGGGCAGGGAAAACTATCAATCGTTTGTATTTTCTACTTATTTATGACTGCAAAAAGATTGATTTTTTTTCTAATTCACTTTGTAGAATTGTGTGGCCTATTTTATCCATTCTTTGTAATGAAGAAGTTAAATATTCAGTATTGTGACTAACTTGTGGGTGAACTGGTTTGGATATGGGGTGGGTGGGGAAATTCTTAATGTTTATTCAAAGAAATCATTGTATTTCCAAAAAAAGGGGGGTGGGGACTGGGAGGAACATTAGAGTGCAACAGTTCATTTTCATGGAAGTATGGCTTGTTTTCTAAACTGCTCTAGATGTGTATAAGGTTAAAAAAAAGGTTATAGCAGCATTAAATGGGCATTTGCTAGTCAAAACAGTTGGACATAACTCTGTTTGCGACCAGCCATTTCAGGCTTCTTTCCAACCAAGGCAGGCTCTTTAGATGTCTGGAAATGTTTTCTTCTCTTAGTCCAATCTTTCAAGCGGTCAACATTCTCATAAGTAGCTATAGCACTAATGGAAGATATGGTTAAATAATTGCATAACTAATTCACACTTCACAGTATATTGTCTTTGGACATTTGTACTTGATTATAATGAAACTAAACTTACTAGGCAGAGTAAGTATCAGCCCAGCTGAAAACCTAGTGGAAATAAATTATTTGATCACTAACTGTTGAATGGCCATAGAAGCAGGAATAGAGATATGACAAGAAGAGGAAGAACTGGAGGACAAGTGCTTTCTAATACAGGAAAACCTAAAATTCTGGCAGGCTTCTTTTTTTTTCTTTTCTTTGCTTTTGTGTTCATTAAATCTTCCCATATTTATACAGAAGTAAAGTACAAGGACAATAAGTGAAACCTGCTTCTGAGACAACATGTAAATACTAGTGTTATAAAAGGAAAATTTGGAAAAACTAGAAACATTTTGAAATTTATGACTGACAAGTCAGCTCTCCAGAGTCATTTGATGTGGACTGGCTTAATCAATAAATAGATAAAACAGTGGCCATGGCATGCTTTAGCTAAGAGGGCCTAAGATCAGATTTTTATTTTTTTTTAGTTAACACAGCCACTCTTACTCCACAAATTCTTTATATGCACAATTGCTACAGATATAGGCCAAAAATAAACCAAAAGTGATTGTCTACTGAAAAACAATCATAATCCTCAGAGGCACAATTTTTAATTGAATGTTTATAGCAATCAATTCAAAATTGAAACTCAACTTTTTAAAGTTTTTTTTTTAAATGTATCCTAAACTGAAGTATCTTCCCTTGCTGGAAAGCAAATCAGGAACACTTCAGCCCATTCAACACTCTTGACCAAATATCTAGTTGGGTCATCAATCTCTCTACTCCCTAAATTTGCCCTGTATTATAGCCACTGATAGAATTCAAAGTCTTGCACGTAGTATTAAGTAATCTTGATAAACCTAAAGGACAGTTTTTGCAGGTCTATAGTGGTCTACCAAAAAGGATTACACTCTTAATACTAATCACTTGACAGGGAAAATGTAATTTTAGACAATCACACATAAAGTTCTTACAGTACCATCTTTGGCATTAGTATATTCCCTCTGCCCATGTCCAGTTCTGTATCCTGTTTAAAAGGAATAGCAGCCTGCCTAATCTGCATTTCATTTAAGCTAAACTATTCTGATTCTGCTATGCAGAAGAGGTGGAAAAGAAAAATGCAATATGCATGCTCTTTTCAGGAATAAAATAAGGCCATGCACTTTATGAATGTAATATTCTCCTCAGACATATATGTCTATCTGTAGAATTAGATCAGAAACTTAGCTTCACACAATTGGATCCAAATCCTTGGAAGAGAATCAGTATTTTTCTACCGAAAAATGTGGCAAAAGGAAAATAATAAATTATCTAAAAACAATAGAGGTTGACATTTTCAGATTTCAAAATACACACTGTGCAGATTGGGCCAAAGAGAATACTTGTTCCAGAGATCTACAGGCTCATTCTAAACATGTACTTGCAAATAAGCCATACCATGTTCAGTGGAACTTCCTTTCTAGTGACTATGCTTAGGGCTAGAGCCCTAATCTTGCAGTTTGTGGCTGGGCTCAGGGAACATACAGAAGATGTCTAATCCACATTTGCTGAGTCCTGGTCATTTCAGAAGCCACATGGACTAAAATAGCTGTCTTTCTGAACATCCTGTTCTAGACCGCATAGTTAACAAGCTCTCTTGGGAGCAAGAACTAGATTGCATAGTTAACAAGCTGTCTTGGGAGAAGAAAGAGGACTAACAAGCTCCCAAATGGCCTACTAATGATTCGCAACAGGCGTTACACAGCAACAGGCAGACAGTGACACTGTAGCCAAATCACGTTGAGTGGCTGTGACATTTGCTAGGAATGGAGAGAGTTGGATTGTAAGTAACCAAATGGTAGACTGAGATTGCTCACTAATGTCTCTCCTCACCGGACCTCAACCTGTGCAGTACTCTGATAAATTCACTGTTGTAATAGAACATTCTTGTGTCCTTACTGTAGTTGTGCTGTTGCAATCATGAAAGGAATGCCACTCCAGAGGTTTTATGGTTATAAAATAAGGCAGACATCTTTATTTCTACTGAAAATGTTGGTGTGCATTTTTAATTCTGTAAATCCACACTTATTACTAATGAGTAGCTGTGTGGATTAAGAGGACACTATCCTCTTTTTAAAAATAATTTTTAGAATAATTTTTTAAAAAGACATTTTAAAACTGTCATCGTTGTTCCAGAAAGGAATATTTATATAGGAGTAAGAATTTGGCTTGTATTCAGCCCTGAAAATTAGATGGTTTTTTTGGTATATGTACACAGTAAATGTTTGTATTTTGCAGTTTTATCTGTTTTGCTTTTTAGATAAATGAAATGGGTATCAATATTTTAAAGTCATTTTGCTTTTCTAAGATGAGTTTGTAATCATTGCAAATAAACAATAAAAAACTTTCATGTATAAAGTGAACAAATCATTCTTGTGGGCTTTTTTCTCTCCAAACTTTAATTTTTATTAAGTATTTTATCTGTTAACCTAATTTATTATGTTGAATTGTATCTGTCTGATTTATTACAGAGGATATAGCACAGCTGATAAGTAAATAAATGAATAGCCATTTTCTCTAAATGAACTACCTCTTACCGGCACTTGTGAAAATTGACATTGAGCAAAGAAGAGGAATTATTAATTCATTGTTGCTATGTGTTCTAAAAAAAGGGCATTGCAAGAAGACATGTGAAATTGTTTCAATTTCCTTGAGGGGACACAGTCCAGGGTCATTCTTACATGGATTTTTTTTTGACATGTTCTCCAAGGGAGATAAAAATTGTATCCGTATTCATATTGAAGGGGTCTCCTTCAATATGGACAAAGGATGTTGGCTAGTATTTTATCAGAGTCAATTTAGTCTAGTGGTGAAGGCACCAAGCTAAAAACCAGGAGACTGTGAGTTCTAGTTCCACCTTCCCCATGAAAGCCAGCTGGGTGACCTTGGGCCAGCCATTCCGTCTCAGCCCAACTCCCTCACAAGATGGTGGTTTGGCAAATAGGAGAAGGAAAGTAGATAAAACTCACTGTCTTGAATTATTTGTGAGAAAATAATAAAGGCAGGAAATACATACATACATACATACATACATACATACATACATACATACATAGTCTCCCAGACACCCATGGTTACCAAGTAGACATTTTGAGCAAATCCTCTTGAATGCTTTAACCAAGCTTTTCCTGATCCAAAGGATATGAAGTTGTGAACAGAAGAACCATAATAAGTAGACAAGCTAGGATTCCTTCCATGTGGATAAGAATTCATCCAAGATGAAGGAGGCCATGTCATTACTAGGAAAGGGTAATGTCATTGTATAATTCTCCCAAGAGAGAGCCCTTCCCTGCCTTAATAGGTAGCACTTGATGGCTACCCAAGGGCCAGACCTCTGAATAATACCTGCCTAAAAAAGGCTCAAAGATGTTAGACAAAGGACTGTACGTTTGAAGCAATAATTTTTAACATTAACTGGAAGTAAGAACTCAGTGTACAAATGCCTACTGTCAGCCTCACGGTTACTGTAAAATTAACGTAATAGCAAATTTGAGTTCTGGTGATTTCATAAACACATTTCTTTAGTTATTTGTAAATGTAAAGTCATATAGCAAAGTAAGAATCATTACGATGATCAAGTTGGGCACAAGAGGTACAATTTTTCCAGAATGTCAATAGCAGAATGTAAAACATATCTAATGCTGCCATCTTACAAATACTTCCTTGGAGGAAAGGCCTTATCAGTAAGACAAGATACCTTACTTGTTTCATTTGCTTATATTATAAATCCTTTGGCTCTCATAATTATCATAAAGGTAGAGCTACCTTTGTGGAAACAGATGTAAACCTTACAGATCGGTCATTATGATAAGTTAACTTTCTAAAGAAAACATACATTATAATTTATTTTGCTTTATTTAATTTAAAAAAAATCTAAGGAATTGTAATACCATTTAAATACACAGATTTACAAATAGGTCCAAAACAGGACTAAAATATTCTTTGAATATTGTGCTTTCATAGATACATAAGAAAATTAGCATATAAAAATACTTTGTACAGGAATACACTCTAATATATGGATAAAAATACACATTTAATGCATTTCATTTTTATATCATTCAAAATGCATAGGAAGGGATACAAGGACCATTTTTAAAGCCTTATTAAAAGTCTTCATTAAAAACCTAATTGAAGCCACAGGGAGCTTCTGCCATTATGAGAATATTGCATATAAAACCCCCATTTTTCACACATCCATCAATATTTTTTTTTGTTTCTTTTATGGCACATTATCTAGATTATGGCAGCAATGGTATGGAATATTGCATACTTTGAGAAGAGAGAATGGCTACAGCTAGAGACAGCCCAATAAGACTCATGCACATCTTGATAAGAAAGTCACAGAGAGAGAGCAGTGCTGTGAAATAGCAAAAAAAGATATATATGCTCACAGCTTGGGCTGGGTTCAGACCAGAAACCACCTTGGATCAGTGGACTCATCTAACGGGTGTTTCCAATCTTGACAAAAGCATGGTATCTCAATATGAACCAAAACAGTAGAAAATAGATATCAAAATTAAAACTATTAGAAAGGAAGAGAGGAGCTAGTTTTCCCATTCAATGAACTAAATTCCCAAGTAAAGGTCAACTTAAATAATCACAATAAAGAGTGGTTCCAGAGCCCACTAGTGGACTGGCCAGGGAGAAACCACAAATCCTGGCATTTTCCCCTTTTGAAATGAAGAAATCATGGCTTCTTTTGAAATTGTTAACTGTAGGCAGATAATTGAAAGAATGTGAATATCACACACAGCAGTGCTACAAGAGGATTTGACTCAGGAGGCTGATGCAAAGTCCTGGTTTACAAAGGCTTCATGCTCACAAGTCATAGAAGAAAAAAAAAGGTAATTGTAGAAAAACACAGGGATGCTGCTACTGATAGGTTACAACAAAGTGTCAAGCATCATCGTGGGATTAAACAAATGTACACATTGCACTGGTGCAATCCACAGAGGATGTACTTGGAGGTACAATATCAATCTAGAGACACTGTCTCATGCTACGGAGTAACCAAGATTCCTTCCACCACCACCACCACCACACAGATCATTAAGCGGGAGAAGACATTGATGCAAGTGATTCAGCTGCCCACTCATAACTGTATACAGAGAGGACATCTGGGAACAATTTTGGGGCTCTGTTTGTGCTCAAAAATAAATAGCTGGTCCAAGAGGCTTTATGTTCCCCGTGCAATGCTATACAATAAGTGCTTTCAAGAAATGGTGGTTGGAGAGTAAGAAACTCAGTAAGAAATTAAGCTGGGCAATGTTTTAAAGGTGAAACATATTTCTGCTACCACCCAAAGAATAAATTATGAAGGATTTTGAAAGTGAAAAGTATTTCTGGTATCTCCCAAAGAATAAATTATGGGGAAGGTATTTGTCAGAGCTTCATCTTCTTGAGGAACAGGTTGCCTTTTAAATTAAATCCAAAAGTAGAATGTGCACTTAGTGTCAAAGAGATTCCTGATAAGTGATCTGTGAGAATGTGCAGGGGAACTGGAGAAGGGGCTCAAGGAGTGTTGTAGGGATGTCTTTCACACACACAAAAAAAGGGGGCGAAATCCATTTTAAGATTAACTTCACTTGATTAAACAAAACAAACAAAAACAGCACCATGTATCCAAGTCCTTACAGACTGGGGAAGAGCTTGTGCTCTATTACCCATGCAGTGGAAACACTCATATGATGAGTAAGGATGTTCTCCTGTGGGTGAATTATTCTGGGAGTTGCTGTCAGCAACTGGCTCCATCGCTGACTAGTTCACTCCATCTCAGCTTGAACCTTCAAAGCCAAGCTGTGTTGGCTTCAAAATGTGATTGGTTGGGGGAGAGGAAACATCTCTTCACAGCAACTGACATTATGTAGATTAAGCATAAATACGAGTGCAAAAAAAAACAAACGACAACCCAAACAAACAAACAAAAAAACTCTCACACACCACACAACAGACACCCATTAATTCCTTTCCTCCCACAGAACCTTGAGAAGAGCAGATCACCAAACCTAGCCGTCCTTCAGAGTGTCTGTGCGCTTGTCTTTACCTCCCCTCCAACCGACTGCTGGTCTGGAAAGCTGCTTGGCTCCTGTAGGCAAGTATTGGCAATGAAAGCCAGGGGGTTTCGACTGATTACAAGGTCCAACTTATTTCCTGCCTCAGATATCAGAGGAACAGCCAGAGAGCAATCAAAGTCCCTTGTACGGATGCAATTCACCTGAAAGGATGGAAAACCCACGGTGAGATCAGAGGAAAAAGAAGGGAAATATGCAGAGAGGGGGACAAAATGAAGCAACTGCTTCTTTGCAAAATAACCTTGCGGGCAGCCAAGGTAGCCTGTCCCGTACAGGTAGTCCCGGATTTATGACCACAATTGGGACACAATTCCATCACTAAGCAAGGCGGTTGTGAAGTGAGTTGCCCTTGATTTTACATCCTTTTTTTTTTTTTGCCACAGTCATTAAACAAATCATTGTGAATTGTTACATGAATCACGTGGTTGTTAAGAAAATCTGGCTTCCCTCATTGACTTCGCTTGTCAGAAATCATCTGGGGAAGATCGCAAATGGTGATCGTGTGACCCTGGGACATTGGAACCATTGTTGGTTGCCAAGCTCCCAAAATTTAATCGCATGACGTTGGGGATGCTGCAATGGTCATAAGTGCAAGGACTGTTATAAGCTACTTTTTTCAGCTCTGTCATAGCTTTAAAAGGTTATTAAATGAATGGTGTTAGGTCAAGGACTACCCTTTTATTACCCAGCCCAAGCCAAATCATACTCTGCTGTATTTCAAAACTGAAAGAAAATATCTATTTGTTTAAGGGGGGGTGGGGTGGACACACATATAAGGATGTGAAATGTTGCATTCTTGCAGTCCCCTTAACCTCCAGACAAGAGTTTCAGAACCAAACCTGAATTCTACCACAGCCCTTATCAGGCGCTTCCTCACTCTCAAAATATACTGGCCACATTAGTTTTTCAGCTATAAAAAGCTGACCTGTAATCTTTTGCAACCCAAGAGAGAAGGGGACTATTTAAATGTTGAGCATTTTCAGTTTTTCCCCCTTGGAGAGCTTTTTCTCCCTTTTACTTTCTCTAGGACAGGCACCATAAAAGGCAATTCTGACATGAACAATGTGGATGGTCACTAATAGTGGTGGTGACACTTTTTCAGTGCTACAGGAACAACCACCACAAACAACTGACAGCAATAACTGAAGCACAAGAGCAAGAAAACTGTACCAACTGCCTCTTTCAATATTTTAGGAGGAATGGCTGAGAAACAAATGTACTACTCATCCTAATAGGCTGGCAATGCCAAAGGCCTTCCCTCTTTCGAATATCTAAGCAGGGTTGGGAAAAGATCCTCTGGCTGCCCTTCATTAAAGTAAAGGTAAAGGTTCCCCTCACACATACGTGCTAGTCATTCCCGACTCTAGGGGGCGGTGCTCATCTCCATTTCAAAGCTGAAGAGCCAGCGCTGTCCGAAGACGTCTCTGTGGTCATGTGGCTGGCATGACTAAACTCCAAAGGTGCATGGAACGCTGTTACCTTCCCACCAAAGGTGGTCCCTATTTTTTCTACTTGCATTTTTTACATGCTTTTGAACTGCTAGATTGGCAGAAGCTGGGACAAGGGATTCGAACTGCTGAACTGCCGACCTTTCGATCGACAAGCTCAGTGTCTTAGCCACTGAGCCACCCCATCCCCTGCCCTTCATTAGGGTGGCCTAATATTTTTGAGGGGGATGCCCTTCTAAAAAATGGCAGGCCTTTCAGGGCTATGGGGTTGCAACTAGTTCTGTTGTGACATCACTGCAAGGAGTGTAGTTAAGAGTTGGATTTTGGGTGGGGGGAGGTGTCTAAAAGTGAACCCCATTCTAAATTCTCTCTAAAAGTGAATTTCAAGAGCAGGCCTGGAAATTTTGTCCCCAGTATGCATGTGCCTCAAGGACAACTATGTGGCCCATGGGTTGCACTCGCCAGCTATTAACACTTCTGCAAATAGAGTAACTCCTGGAAGTTTTCTTATGTTCCATTTTGATTCCTGTGTTTGATTGTAAAGCATAAACAAAAGAGAAAAGAGTCTTGGGAGACTGAAAACCAGACTACCTTCAGCAAGAAGCAGGCATGGGCCTAGATTCAGGGACAACAGTGGAGGAACTATGGATATAAGGATAGGCAGATAAGACGGCAAAATGCATCTAATGAAAGAGGCTATCCCTGTCACTAATATTTCTGAAAGGGAAATAATGGCATTTTTTGTTTCTTACTAAATGTTTCATAATAAAGAGATTTCTAAGGAAAACAAGAGGTTGACAGAACTGGCTTTTAAAGAACTATGTCTCAGACTGAAGATCAATATACTTTCCAATTTAAAATTTAATTCCTGGGTCCTGGATAAAAGATTTCCTATCTTCCCAGTGATTAAATAAATAATAATGGAAGATGTTTTTCCCCTGCAGGTAGAAAAAAGATGTCAGAGAAAGGAGAGAGGCTAACTGGCAGGAAAAAAAAACAATGGCCTCTTTCATCTTGTCTAGCAAAGTTTTGAATCAAGGTAGTCCTCAATATACAACAGTTCATTTAGTGCCCATTCAAAGATACAATAGCTCTGAAAAAAGTGATTTATGACTTTTTTCACACCTACGACCAATGCAGCATCCCCATGGTCACGTGGTCCAAATTCAGATGCTTGGCAACTGGTTCATATTTATGACGGATGCAGCATCCCAGGGTCATGTGATCCCCTTTTGCGACCTTCTGACAAGCAAAGTCAATGGGGAAACCAGATTCATTTAACTACCAGGTTACTAGAACCGTGGTATCTCAGTGGTTATACTGCAGTATTTCAGGCTAACTCTGCAAACTGCCAGCAGTTTGATTCTCACCAGCTCAAGACTTTGACTCAGACTTTCATCCTTCCACGGTCAGTAAAATGAGGACCCAGATTGTTAAGGGCAATATGATGACTCTGTAACCTGCTTAGAGAGGACTGTGAAGCGGTATATAAATCTAAGTGCTATTGCTATTAACTTAACAACTGCAATGATTCACTTAACAACTGTGGCAAGAAAGGTCATAAAATGGGGCAAAACCCACTTACCAATTGTCTCAGCAACATAAATTTTGGGCTCAATTGTGATCGTAAGTTGAGGACTACCAGTAACTAATTTCTGAGATAATCAAGAAGTGTAGAAAAGAAAGCTGGCTACTCCCTTATGTGCTCTCCCCTTCTTGCTGGTTTAAAAACAAATTCCTCCCTGTGATAAACAAGGTGAGGGAAAGTTTTTCTTTGGGGCTAAGGCAGAGGGGAAAAGAAATTAGCTGCAATCATGACCTTGTTTCGCTACTCCCTTCACCAGCTGTTTTTTAATTTCTTCTGTGCCGGAAGGGAAAGCCATCTGTCCTTCCAACCTTCCATCGCCCAGACAAATCAGAGAGATTTGTTGCATATTTAACATGAATTTTGTTTTAATTGGAATGTTTTTATTGCTTACTGCCATTTCCGTTTGCTTTTATGGTTGCTTGTTTATCTAATTGCTTTATTGAAGATTGCTTGTTCTTTCTTTTTGTTTATTGCACTGGGCTCCTTCGGGAGGAACGATGGAGAAGACAATGAGCAAAAAAATAATTAAAAATAACTAAGTGGCTTTTCTCAGCATGATGACGGGGTGGTGCAGAAGGGACAGAATTATGGAGCAAAAGTTTAGCTGAATGCTAGTGCTCTAGAATTGAAGGCCAGCTTTGTCACCAAAGGTGCTTTTTCAGGAGGCAACTGGACAGTCTTGTTTTTTTTTTCTTTTGAAGACGTTTCGCTTCTGATCCAAGAAGCTTCTTCAGCTCTGAAGAAGCTGGAGAAGCTTCTTGGATGAGAAGCCAAACGTCTTCAAAAGAAAAAAACAAGAAAGTCCAGTTGCCTCCTGAACAAGCACCTTTGGGACAACCATGACCTGGATGACTGAGAATCTCTACAGAAGGCCAGATTTAAGAACACAGACATAATTTTAAATGAGTGATACAAATATAGCTGCCTTACTGTGGGTGAAATTAAACAATGTGAAGAAAGAGGGAAGGTAAGCATGTCTCAGGTGGGATATCTCAATAATCACAGGTAGCCAATGACTTTTAGATGAGCATACACATCTAACAACTCTTTTAAGAAACCATTTTTCTTCCCCCATCCCTGATTGATTACCTGGAGGACTCTGTCATAAGGCTTGAGTCCACACTGGTCTGCTGGCCCACCTGGACGGATCATATTCACATAGACACCCTTTTCTAGCAAGCCATCAGAGACACTGAACCCAAAGTCTTCAGTTTCGGGATCCTTGTAAATTGTCATCTATAGGAAAAGGCAATTTTAATTAGGATGATGGTAAAAATGAAGTTGGGTGTACAAGATGTAGATTAGACAAGAGGGAGAGGGACATTATAAAATATTCAACAACTTCGTTGTCCCAAAGGTGCTCTTTCAAAAGGCAACTGGACTTTCTTTTTCTTTGAAGATGTTTTGCTTCTCATCCAAGAAGCTTCTTCAGTTTTCTTCAGGGAAAAAAAAGAGGAAAAACAAAGTCCAGTTGCCTTTTGCAAAAGCACCAATGGGACAACCATAACCTGGATGACTGAAAATCTCCATAGACATTCAACAACATGGGCAACATGAAGTGTCCATAGTACCACTCTAGTTTATTTTTTAGACCCTGAAGACTTGAATTCAAAACCTTACACCATGGGATAATTTACTCTTTCTCAACCTGAACTATTTAATCAGCTTGTTAAAAAAAAAAAATAGAGGTGTGAGATGCCTTACCAAGGTTTACTGCTTTCTTTTCCTTGAAGGAAAATCAGACTACGGGTAAATAAGGCCTGTAAAATTCTTGTATTGCAGGAACATTTTTAATTTTTAACTGAATCACCCATAGATTTGTGCCCATGAACCCAGATAACACAACTTTTATCCCGCTCCAGAAATGTGACACTGCTTTATTTAGAACAATCATGAAGCCAATAGAAAGCATGTTTCCTAGATGAATAGAAGACACTTATGTGCAGGAACCTCAGTTATCTACATGTCAATAAAAATAATATAGGTATATAAAGGTAATTAAACTCCTGTATTCCCTTAGCTTGAGCATTTCACAACTACTCAGTATTAACCTTGAAAGCTTTGCTGACTAGGCATTCAGCCACCCAACCCCATCTGCTTATTGCAGGTATTTCAAAACTGCATCATGCAGTAACTACACAAGTCAGTCTGAAAGATGCAAAGTCTGTGATTGGCTTTGGGTCATTAAAAGTGGATCATCTTTGACTGTATTATCACTAATTATCCTCTTTTTTCTCTCTCTCTTTTTTTCATATTTTTTTATTATTAACATATATAAAAAAGAAATTAACATACATAACATACATGAATCATAATATGTAATATATAACAATATACACAATACAAACAATCAACGAGTGCTCCCCCACCCCTCGGGATCATTCCTGCTTCCAGAATCTTAAGGCTTCTTCTGGTGGTGGTATCCTTCTTCCTCCAGAAAACACATATTTTAGGAACTGTTTCCAGATTCCATTGAATTCGTTTACTTTCATTATGCCCCTCCTTACTTTAATATTTTTATTTTATTTATTTTATTTTTATTTTATTTCTAATTTATATACCGCCCTTCTCCCTGAGGACTCAGGGTGGTGTACAGCCAGAATTAAGAACATGAAATACAAATATTAAAAAACAATTAATATATATATAAATTTGGCCCCAAAATTAAAAATCACAAACCAATTAAAACATTTAAAAATTTCTTCTTAAGCCAGCCCGGCTTGCTGGAAAAAATGGGTTTTAAGGGCACGACGGAAGGCACTGAGGTCTTGGATTCTCCTTATCTCTGGGGGCAACTGATTCCAGAGGGTAGGTGCCCCCACAAAGAAGGCCCTCCCCCTGGGGGTCACCAGCCTACATTGTTTGGCTGATGGCACCCTGAGGAGGCCCTCTCTGTGGGAGCGCACGCAGCAGGCGGTCTCGAATATAGCTAGGCCCTATGCCATGGAGCGCTTTAAAGGTGATGACCAACACCTTGAAGCGCACCCAGAAGACCACCGGAAGCCAGTGCAGCTCGCGCAGGAGCGCTGTTACATGGGAGCACCATGCTGCTCCCGTCATTACCCGCGCTGCTGCGTTCTGGACCAGTTGGAAGAGCATCTCCGGGTGCTCTTCAAGGGGAGCCCCATGTAGAGAGCGTTGCAGTAGTCAAGGCGAGAGGTGACGAGGGCATGAGTGACTGTGCACAGGGAATCCCGATCAAGACAGGGCTGCAACTGGTGAATCAGGCGAACCTAACAAAAGGTTCCCCTGGTTACAGCCGTCAGATGTTCCTCTAAGGACAGCTGCATATCCAGGAGGACTCCCAGATTGCGAGCCCTCTCTGTGGGAGCCAAAGACTCGCCCCCAATAGTCAGTGATGGAGTCAACTGACTATATCGGGATGCCGGGAGCCACAGCCACTCAGTCTTGGAAGGGTTGAGCTTGAGCCTGTTCCTCCCCATCCAGATCCGCACAGCCTTCAGGCACTGGGACATCACTTCAAGGGCATCGTTGGGGTGGCCTGGGGTGGAGATGTACAGCTGGGTGTCATCAGCGTACTGGTGGTATCTCACCCTGAAGCCACGGATGATCTCACCCAGTGGCTTCACATAAATGTTGAACAGAAGGGGCGAGAGGACCGATCCCTGCGGCACTCCACAGCTGAGAGGCCTTGAGGTCGACCTCTGCCCCCCTGCCAACACAAACTGCGACCGGTTGGAGAGAAAGGAGGAGAACCACCGCAACACAGTGCCTCCCACCCCCAACTCTTCCAGCCGGTGCAGCATGATACCATGGTCGATGGTATCAAAAGCCGTTGAGAGAACTAACAGGACCAGAACAGAGGAGCAACTCCTGTCCCAAGCCCTCCAGAGATCATCAACCAATGCGACCAATGCCGTTTCCGTGCTGTGCCCAGACCTGAAACCAGACTGCAACGGATCTAGATAAGATGTTTCCTCCAGGAATTGTGGAAACTGTCGCGCGACCACACTCTCAACAACCTTCGCCATAAAGCGAAGGTTGGAGACAGGACGATAGTTGGCCAATATTGCCGGATCCAGGGACGGCTTCTTGAGGAGAGGCCTCATCACCGCCTCTTTCAAGGCAGCGGGGAAGTGACCCTCACTCAACAAAGCGTTGATAACACCCTGGAGTTGCAAGTCAATTTATCATTTATGGCAATAACCCCTACTTCCTTATACCATTCTTCCAAACTATAATCACCTTGTGTCTTCCAGTTCCTAGAAATCATTAACCTTGCTACGGTCAACAAATTTATTATCAATTCTTTAGTCTCTTTTTTATATTTTATATCTTCCAATAGTGAGAGTAGCATTACTCTCACTATTGGAAGATATAAAATCGGTTTCCCATACCATCTTTCCTAAATTTCCCCTCTCCTCTTCCTCCAACAATATTTTATAGATTCCACTCATTAAGCCTTTTATCCTCAATGCTGAGGTCTCCAATATGCTCTGGACACCAATCATTTCCTTATCCACTCACCTTTTCACATTCGTTAGAGCCCTTATTTATTTTTGTTAATGGGAGGTTGATATATTTCAAAACAAGGTATTAGTATCATAATTATTCTAAGAATTCCTTTGGTTCCATATGCGTTCAGATTTATTCTTTTAAAAGAAGGAGGGTGTTCACCACAATCCAGTGCATTTCAGTATTTGTGTTGCGTTTTTATCTCAAAAGACAAACTGAGCTGGAAAAAAGTAGAAGATACCCTGAGGGGGGGGGGAGAAAGATCAGAGCTGGAGTTAAGAACATCCTCACCAGTTCGTCTTATTTGGTAAATGGCTCCCAACATGAGAGCCATATTAATGGTCAAGCTATCTAGGGACAGGCCTTCTGGTGTGTTCCAAATTCCAAAAGTGCTCTTTGTTCCTTAAAAACTGAAAAGTGGACAATCCTTTGGTGTCAAAATTGGTATCATTAGCTATGCCGTGTTCAAGAAAAATGGGGAAGGAACTTTGTTAATATACTGTCAAATGATCTTTTTCTGTTCATTGGAATGGCCTGTCCTCTTCATACGATCCCCTTCTTCCTGCCCACAATGTACCCCCAAATGATACATATCGGGAATTTTAACCCAAAAACAATTCATCCTAAAGCTAAAAAGAGAATTTGGCTATGGAAAAGGTAAAGAAGCAATCAGAAATTTAGATACAACCAAAAGAGAGTTATTAGTTATGCAAAGTATTTAGGTAACTCTATGGTGCTCACTGGAGATGAGGAAAGGCTTAGGTGAGATTAAAAATAAGGCAAGAAAGGAGAGAGATTTCTAATTAGGGAAACAGAATGAGAGAAGGAAGTATATGCTACTGTTTTCAAAACCTGAGTATATGTTGAGTTAGGGTGAATGGTCTTTTGTAACAGGGATGCAGTTTTTTTGGATTGGAATGCCAGAGTTGGACAAGTTAACGATCAATACTCACTGGGTGAAATCACTTGGGTTTTAGCCAACATACTGCAAATTATCTATGAAAAGAGTGGAAAAAGGTTATTACAGAGCAGGTATTTGATGGCCAGCTGAGGCCATAAAAGTTTCCTTATCTGCCTCTTCTTTCCTTCTAACCCTCTTATTGTCAGTCCTGGAAGCCATCTTTTACTTTGGATCTTCAGCAATTAACATTTAATGCTGTGGGAAACTGGGAGGAGGAATTGTATGGAGTTGGAGAGTTATCTAGCCATAACAATATTCTTTTCTCTGAGAGTCAAGGACATTCTGCCCTGCCCCTGGAGTGGTGTGACTGGGAGACATCTCCAGTTGGGACGGTGCATTGATTGGACCATGTGATGGACATATGAGTGCAGGGGCAGGGACTTGGACTTCTTTTGGGTGGGGAAAACCTGGAAGCTTTCAGATTCAGGTTTTCCCAGATGTGCCAATATGACATCTCTAATAAAATGGAACTTTGAGGAACGTCTGGCCTTGGAGTCTTCTTTCATTGGGGGTGTTACTTGGAACTCTGACACTTATAAGGCACTAAGCTTGGTGGGAGAAATGAAACCATCTTGCTGAACAAGGGACATATATTTTGAAAACTGCCTGGTTGAAGGAACTCTCAGGGCAGAGAATAAAAATATAACTACCTACTATGTAAAGTGCTTTTTTTTTTTAAGGAAAAATAAAGTTGTTCAAAAGAGTTATGATTTTATTTTCTCCACAAAGGCATTTAGTACAAAAATGTAGAATTCATATTACTAATTAAAACAGCATATATCTATATTGCAATCAGGAATGCTAATGGGGGCCCTAAATATTACAGCCTTAAAGTTGCTATTTTTCTATTTAGTGAATAGCCGTGTTTCTGTTGAATCAGGTGTATATTCCAAAAGACTTCAACTAAAATTAATTTCAGGAAGGCAGAGGCAAGAATTCCTTTAGAAGTCAGAGGTTTGGATAGCAACAGAAAGAATTCAAGACCTGCTTCCAAGCTATTGGATTAAACATTCAGGTAATAAGCTAGTTAATTTCTTAGAGCTTATCCATATATTAAATTAAAAGCAATTAACAAAAGTCAACACAAATTTGTCAACAGCAAATATTGCTATACCATATATTTTTTTTCTCATCAATTACCTTTCTAAATAGATTGAGGAAGTGATGTAGATGTACTTCTATGTACCAGTTTTTGCAGACAATTTGAAAAAGTAATCCATTACATTTTTAATTAGCAAACTAGCTAAATGTGGGTTAGGTGGACTGGACAGTTGGCTTTTAAGTATACGGAGATTAACTTTTGACACTTGATTCAAAAATTCATTAAGTGTTCCTCATCAAATTGATGTCAAATGAGATTCATTCCTAGGCCTTGTACTATGCAGGGAGGTAAGTGGGTGTGAATATGTATTTTATTTTATTGTATTTAATTTCATTTTTTCTGAATGGATTGTTGAAGAGACAGAGGGGATGCTTAAGGAATGCTTGTTATCAAATTACCAAATGACACCAAATTGGTAGGATAGCTAGTATCTTAGAAGATAGGAAAAAGCACAGGAGCAAACTTGATGCTAGAGAAGAGGCTAAAACTAACAGAATGAAATTAGAGAAAAATGCAGCATTCATTACTCTAAAGAGAAATCAAATGCATAGGTAACAGGATGGAGAATATCTAGCTTGATAACAAGGCATTAATAAAATACTGGAATAATGGTTGATTGAAAATGGAATAAATAGTAGCAGTGTGATGTGGCTGACAAAAAGAGAAATTCAATTTTAAACGTTACAGAAGTTCAATTTTCAAATTGTGAGAATTGCTCCACTTTTTCTTCCTTTAGTCCAATCTCACCTCCAACAATGTCTTCTCCTGGGCCCAGCATTTAAGTAGGATTCAGAGAAACTGATAGTTTATAGAAAGGCAATGAAGATAATCAGAGGGCTAAGAATAACATTCTTTGAAGAAAGAGTGAAGGAATTGAGGAATGTTTATCCAATTAGGAGGAATATGATAGTATTTAAATATTTGAAAGAAGGACACACCAAAATTAAGACTTGGATAATAGATCCAAGCTATAGGAAGATAATATCTAACAGAATATTAGAGGTAAAAGTAGTAACAATGTGATGGTAGGATTAAACACCCAGTGGCCTCCTATTCACTTAATATTTATAAGTGGAGGTTGGTCAGCCTCTTGTTGTGGATGCTTTGAGTTGAGCAAGGAGCTTTGACTCAAAGACCTAACTGGACACTTTTAACTTGATAATCCTAAACAAAATGCCAGGATAAATACCCATATTTTATTGAATTTCTTAATGTCTCAATACAATATCATGACTCCTGCTGGGTTATTACCCCTCAGAAAAACAACTGGAGAACTAAAGAGGTCTGTAAAAGTGGTATAAGGCAGATTTCACATCTTGGAAGGCCCACAGAGACAAATTCACTGAAGTAATAAAATAAAAGCAAAGATGGGGGAATTAGGATTGTTTTCTAATAACTGTCCATAATAATAAAATACCACAAATTTGCTTGTTATACAGAGTATGGTTAGTTTTAGTTTTGAGAAGTAAGACAAAAAAGCAAATAAAGGGAATGTTATCCAGTTTAAAACAGGTTGC